TCGATGTCATATTTACTGGATTATAATTCGATCGGCTGTTCAACGCTCATTCATGATTAAATCAAAAATGGATAATCGATACTTTGTTTTGTTTATCGTACCGACTTTAGTAATGATTTTCGAGGCGAGGCCCAAAATTCAATCGCAAAATTCTCGGTTCAGAGTGGATCAATTTGACTGAAATTTTCAGCAAATACCCTTTACAGTATCTAGTCTTTAGCTACTATAGTGAGAACTGTCAACTTTTTATCAAATCTCCCACAATGTATCTTAAATCATATATTATTCAAAAGCTAAATCTGCATATTGCATGTCTTTAGTAGTGAATTATTGAAATAAAATTATTGAAAGCGAATTATTGAAATAAAATTGAACCATATGTTAGTTCCGAAATGGCTTAGTTGTGTCGAGTGGACGTTAAACTCCATCTCTCTCTCTCCTCTCTCTCTCTCTCTCTCTCTATCTGTCTCTCTCTCTCGACAAGTTGGGCATCGAAACCACACCACTTGACTCAATGACAGATACGATCTCAAGTACCAGTTAAACCATTCGGCCACGCTTTAACCATTCGGCCACCCAATCCTTATGAATATTGTAAATAGACTTCAGTATAATACGGTAGTCTTCATAAAGAACAGCTGTTCAATTTGATGGACTAGCGAACTTTACTCACATCGTCTCTATTGATTCTAGACATCACCAACAAGTCTTTGTCTGACGCTCCTGACCTTTTCTGACCTTTAGTTTTCACGTGACGAGAGGTGTACGTGGACACATGGTTAAAGAGAGGTCAGTTTCTTTGTATTTGTTCTCATCACCTGATGTAAATATGTGAAAGATGAGGACGTTGTTTGGAATTTATTTTTAAGATGTTTTAAGATTAACGCCTATAATAAACTGGCATTGAACAGGATGTATCAAATAAACGATGATGATGATGATGATTTTGGTGATGTTGGTGATGATCATGATGGTGATGATATGACCGTGATGATGATGATGATGATGATAAAATGAGGTTTACCATCCTATTTTTCTGTTCCAACAGGACTAAAGGCATACGCAATGCAGTGATGAGGAACATTTTGCTCGGAAAGCATTTGGATTCCAACTGTCAAAGGTTCATTTACGTGCAAGCCTTGGTGTGCGCGACTTCAGATTTCCGTCCCATCCGAACGACTAGACACTGTTCTGTGTCAGGCCCTATGTCCTGCAACACTGACAATGCGAAACCACCATGGCTCCCATTCTAAAACACAGTAAAGGGTTTAAACTCTCTCTCTCTCTCTCTCTCTCTCTCTCACCTGTTTCCATATGTTAGTCCCAAAATGATCTGGCTCGTGTCTAGTGGAGTTACCCCCGCCCCCCTCTGTCTGTCTATCTATCTGCCCCCCTCTCTCTCTCTCCATCAGCCACCCCTTTAAGGGATAACTAATATAACCCACCCTTACATTGTTTGCCAGACCGTCACGTGAGGCATGTTGACCATAGGTCAAGCAGGTTCATATGTAGATCATCTTCTACAAGTATATATATATATATATTAAATATTTTTATACAAATTTGTCTATTTTTAGGTGAGTGAAAAGTAAAAAAGAGAAAAGTTTATTTTTATTCCTATTTTTTGTTTCATTTATCGGTGTTATCTTCTTCCCATCCTTTGATCAGTCGAGTGGAAACTGTGAAGATATCATCTGATTTATTTTATCGTAAAATTATTTACATGTTTTTCTTGAGCTTTCGGTGACCTTTGTGTGTGTGTGTGTGTGAGAGAGAGAGAGAGGGAGAGGGAGAGAGAGAGATTAACGTCTTCTCGACACAAAATATGTCATTTTTATTCCAATAATTCGATCGCTTGCGCGTAGGGATCGTTATCAGTGGGAGGAAACCGGAGGAGAAGACCCACGAGGTTGGACCCCATTACCATAAGTCCCCATGGTAATCTATGTATGTAATTAAGATAAGATGTTTATTGCATCAAAACGTCCATTATAAAGGACAGCATGCATACATATACACTTAGACATAGTCATATACATTTAATAATACATATTACATAGACAACTCAGTCATACAAACAGTATACTACATGTATATCAAAGGGGTTTCAGTTATATTTAGTTGCCACCAAATTTGATTTAGATCTCTATATCAACAGCCAAAAACACATATAAAGCCACTGCCTTGGCAAGCAATTTTGGTATGACAAAGAAATTTATAAAATTGTTGGAAGTACCAAAACAATAAATATATCTTTATACATGTGTGTAAGTAAGGGAACCAGTCCACTTCTCTGTCCCCGGGGTCTATAATTCTATTAAGATGTTCCCGGCGCTATGTCTGTCTTCATTAGACTGGCTGGCGCAGAAGAATAGGACGCTAAACCCCATTCAATCAGTTCTACTGTAGACGAGACGTTACAGATCTATAATGGTGAAATCTTGGCTAAAGTCAGATCACATGTACGTTTCATTCAACAAAGTTGTTTATTTTAGGAAGCCACGTAAAGTTCAGAATCCTAGACAATATAAAGCATGCTTCAGCCATCGCGTGAATCAGAGTGGTATCACGCTCTCGACATATTGAAATCAACCCGGCCTTCACTAGTCAGGTGTTGCACTGGTGGACTGATTAAAACAGTATAAGCCTAGTCGTTCGGAATGGACTAAAACACGAGCTCCAACATATTGGCAAAAGAGTCAAGTGACGTGGTTTGGGTAGGGTCGCCTGTCCAACCTCGTGGGTTTTCTCGGGGCCCTTCGGTTTCCTCCCACAGTTAAAGATCCCTACGCACGCAAGCGAATTATTGAAAGAGAACTGAACCATATATTAGTCCCAAAATGACCATCTCTCTCTCTCTCTGTAGACAATGACCAGTCGTTGACCGTATTGAACTAGACAGTTATCTGTGGATATTGTTACCAATGTTATGTTAATTAACATATTTAACAAGATAACAAACCAGACAAGACATTTATATCGTCTCATTTTAAACCCTGATAACTCACATTATAATATTTTAAACCCCGATAACTCACATTATTTCATCAGCATATTATTATCACAATGAAATGAAATGAAATGAAATGGGGTTTAACGTCCTACTGTTTTGCTCCGAACTGGGCTAATGAAGACGGGCATACGCCATACAGTGTGCTATGAGGGAAATTTTGCCCGGACAGCGGCACAGCGGCACTACGGCCTACTCTTATATCGAATTCCAACTGTCAAGGGATCTTTAACGTGCACGCCAATGTGTACACGGGACCTCGGTTTTTCGTCCCATCCGAACGACTAGACAGTTGTCCTTGTCAGCCCCTCCGTCCTGCATCACTGACAAGGGAGAACCACGCCGGAAAATCTGGATGAACTTTCTCGGCCAATGCAGGGATCGAACACCCGACCTCCAGGCTAGCGAGCCAGATCACTAATGCATTATAAGTATACTCAACCATGTCTGGAAGTATGAGCTTACATAGTCCCCTTCGAAACACTCTGTGAACGGTCGAAGTCCTTATAATTCCTGTCCGTCCTGATGAAGCTGCAAAATAAAAATACCACTCTACCCTCACCCGGTCTTCTACGGCTATTTTGAAGTCGGTACCTTCTGTTTTTCACAGGAATTCTTCTGTGTTCGCCAAATGTGTGCCAGACGTCACGCGTTAAATTAAGGTGAACGAGTGAAGATAAGGATTGTAAAATAGCCATAGAACAGAAATAGAGCGGTATTTTCAATAATTTCACATCTCAGCTTAATAAGGACAGACAGGAACAGCAAGAGGACTTCGTCCGAAAGAAATTAGCACTTACGAGACTAACTGAAATGGAGGTGATCGAATTTCTCTAGTTTTGCCCTGCTCCACTGAGGGGGTTGGGTGGCCGAGTGGTTAACGCGTGTGCGTTGGATCAGAAGGTCTGTATTTATTGAGTCAAGTGGCGTGGTTTCGATTCCACGCTTGTACGTACGTGACAAGGAGTAGGGTCGCTTGTCCAACATCGTGGATTTTCTCCGGGTCGTCCGGTTTCCTCCCACTGCAAAAGACCCCTACGCGCAAACGAATTCTTGAAATAAAATTGAACCATATGTTATTCCCGAATGCCGTTAAATCCCATTTCTCCCGCTATGCCCTGCTCCACAGGGAAAGTCGTGCTAGAAAATTCCAAGGAACTTTCTCGGCCAACATCGGGACGGTAAACCAATTAACCCCATTTTTTGTTTCGTTTCATCTTCATACCAAGATGACAAAAACTTCATTATTGATCACCAATTACTTGTTGGCTGAAACCGCGACAAAATAAAATCCTTAATTAAGAAAAAAAAACTGTTTTTCAGGGTTTTCGCGCGTATGATCTCGTTTCTTCAAATTCATAGAATTTTTAAAAATAGTTTTAGACACAAGACCGATGGGTGGAACAAAAAGTCATAAAAATCTGGTCCAGCTTCTGACCTATAACAAGATAACTTCGATGTTCACGTCAACAAATACAATCAAATTTTAATGTATCATGCGTAGGGGTGGATCCAACAATCGGATCGATCGTGTAAACGCCGAATGACGTCAGTGCGCAGCGGATCGGTAACTTGAATTCTATTACGAAAATCGTGGAGAAATATGCATCCAATTGATCTGCGTAATTCTACTTTTCTAGTCAAAGGTTGAACTCTTCTTTCATAATCAGTAACTTACTGTCCACAATACGCAGCCGTTTTGAAGGGGTGAAAAAATATCGTCATTCCCTACCCTTATCGGCTGTCACTGAAAATTAGTGTTCGGAATTTGAAATGGTTTGCTGCATTACTATGGCTACTGGCCACGTGGGGCTAGGCGTCCAGGTCGGAACAGAAAAGTAGGACGTTAGAAAAAACCATTCCTTTTCGTGAAAAAAGCTTATTTAGTGAAGAAGACGACTTATCATTTAATACAACTAAAGGGAGACAACTCCAGTTTACACAAGAATTTTTATTGTATATAAATATAACAGGTAGTTGATAATGCATATCATATGTATACAATTTATTATGCTCCAAAATATACAGAAATAATACAAAATATATCCACATTTAATATACATAGTAAATTTAGGACGGAGAGTACTTTTATTGAAATTTATCTAAAAAGGGAGAATACTCCCAGGCCAATATGACAGACAGGATCTGTAAAACGATGATTTTATATATTAATGTTTGATATAACATACATTCATTACAATAAAAAAAATTAAAATTATATAAGGACGGAGAAAAGGCTAATTTAATGAGCTTCACAAGGGGAGATTAGTATTACTCATACACTTGTACAGGTACTGCATTGGACCACAGGGATTTTAAGGACAAGATCACGCCAGATAATCCAGCCAGATAATCCAGTCGAGGCTGATGATAATATTTAATACAATTCTATTTTTATAAATCACTGAATCTGCTTTATTTCCCCGCGTCCCTGCGTAGATCAGACATTCATCCAAACAGATCGAGGGATAATGAGAAGAACAAGAAGACTCCGGCATCAACATATCAACATCCAGCACATCTCCATGGAAACACAAAATTAATAAATTAGTAAAAGGCACAACTATTATAATAGGTTGATGTGTGTACAAAATGTTTCATAAAGATATCTGTTTGATATAGTCCTGAAACAAAACATGGACGGGGAACGATTTTAATATACATCCCTTTGATTGGGAATATTCTCATCGCAATGTTTCAATCTATTAGATCTAATCAAAATCATCTCTTGGGCGATTGCTTCAGAAATATGGTTTGACACAGAAGTAAACGAAGTAAAATAGATAATAATAAGATAATATGGACATGATAGTAATTAAATCACAAAACATGATATTTTACTACTTCAATAATTTCACAATTAAAAACTCAATTTTAATTTCAACTTATACAATAATACTACACTCAGGTTCAATCTGATTAAAACACAGATCCTATTTCGTTTTGTTTTTATAGTTCAAAATTTTGTTCTAATTGTCTTTTCTACACTAGGATCTGGAAGAGTTGTTACATAACTTGTAACCTGTGTTCTGATTGATGTGAGGGATTAGCCAATGAAATGGTCTGTTACGCCAAATTCTTGGTGGGCAGTGAACAGAACTGTTGGTATCCAACTATAAACTTTAACGTGGATTGATTAATCAAAAGTTTGACAGCATAGGTCAAAAGCCATTTGTACGACCCCTGATGCGATGTCCCACTACAACCGGTCAGATCTTCATGTAGTGTAGGCCATCAAAAGTATAAAAAAACGAAACGAAATATAGATCTGTATTTTAATCATATTGTCAGAGATCTGGAAATAACAGACCTGTATTATAAATATCAATAAAAACACAAATCTTTGTCTAATAAAATCATTGTGTCTAACAAGTCTGTGACTGGTGCCCTAGCTGTTTCCACGATTTCCTAGCAAGAGACAATGTATAGTCATTCAGATGGGACAAAAAAACGAGGTCCCGTGTACACATTGCTGTGCACGTAAAAGAACCCTTGCCAGTTGAAATAAGAGTAGACGATAGCACACTGCATGGCATATGCCTGTCTTCATTAGCCCAGAAAGATCAGAACAGTTGGACGTTAAACCCCATTTCATTTCATTTCTATGGTTTAACTATACTTTACATATTAAACAATTTATACAATAAAATATTCAAATCATCACTTTTAATTTAATAGTATAATATTCTACTTTCAATTTATACAATAAAATATTTAAATCTCTACATTCGGTTTAATATTAAAATATTTAAATCTCTACTTTCAATTTATACAATAAAATATTTAAATCACTACTTTCGGTTTATACAATAAAATATTTAAATCACTACTTTCGGTTTATACAATAAAATCGGTTTAATAGTAAAATAGCACTTTGAAATGCTGGGTTAAAACTTTAAAACAAATGAGAGTATAATAATATTTGTTCCTGTTTTTAAAAATAAAATAAAGAGATTTTTGGAAATTTTTTAATGTTTGTGTCACAAATGTCGGCCAAATAAATCAGTTTTTTTTCTTGAGAAATATGTGTTAATAAATGGATCTAAATGACAGTTTACAGTAGTTATAATTATTTCAGTGGATCAATTCCTTTAAAAGGGGAAGTAATTTTCTAGTTAACTACATCTGCTATCAATTCATCAACACGATCCCAATCTATGACACTTAATACGCTACCACTGTCAACTGATGCCTCTTCCGCGATACGTGTGATTTCATCAATATCTACAGAATTTGCATACTGGTCGGCCATGACAGCTTCATAATAATCGGACACACCTTCTGATATTTGGTATTCCTGTGAAGTTCCAGCGTAAGCCTGTCAAAATATTGATATGTACAATTTAACCATTTCACACATTTTAACTGACAACAAATAAAAAGCAATATTAAAGACAAAAATTTAAATTTTTAATAAATTAAATTAATTTTTGAATTAACAGAATGAAACACCAACTACTTTTCTCTCATACAGAGTAAACATGATGTATTTACTGCTCTATTATAGAGGTGTGGTCAAAAAGGGGGGGGGGGGGGTCAAAAGACTGTGTCTGGAATATTTGACAAAATTCACTTTTTTGACAGGATTTTTCTGTAGGCTACAATATTATGGTTCTTAACATCTATGCCGGATTGGACAATTTGGCAAAACATACTTTTAACTACCGATGATATACTATTCAAAAATGAAAAAGGGAAGAATTGAAGGAAAGAAATTTCTATTATAAAAGTTACCGTATAAGCCACAGAATTCTCATCATCATACAAGAGTTTCTTGACATCATCATCAACAGACCAGGAACTTAAAACCGAGTGTAATTCATCTCCATCAAGATCATGATACGGATCACGATAAGGTCGTGATCGACCTTGTTCACGAATTACACCAGGTTGTAGAGTCTTAGTCTTTTGCACTGAAAAAATGCAGATCAAAATTCATACAATATTTGTTAGCAAGTAATGTAGTAATACCGGACTTCTTTGTTGTGTTTTCTTCGTGATCGTAAATATAACTACAGGTTATACAACTTTATTATTAAAACCGCTTGGCATCAATGTTCCTATAGGTTAAGTCGTTTATCAATGTTCCTCGTTCTCAATAATGTGAATATAGCTTTGATGGCTGCTCTGAAAAACCGGGTGAGCTCTCCCGAATTTCGCTCAACACCCTCTTTTATAACCCCCTAATTCCTTTACATCATAGCCTGATCTTGGTGTTAATTTCCTTCCCAAATATTGAATAAACATCCCCCATACCCCAGAGACCGGGAGGAGAACATTACCTTATTTGGTCTACCTAGCACATGTCATAAACAAGATAGTATTTGATGGATATTTTAACAATAGTAAGGACATAACCAGTGTTTTTACCTGTTTTTATATATAATAAGTCAATTTAATTTGAGTGCGTGAGACTTCTACACAATGTGTGAATCTAATTATTATTTAAAGATACAATATGGTCGTAAAGACAACAGTACTACAACAGTACTACAGTAATTCAAAATTTCATTATCTTATTTCACTATTATACACATTCCTTGCATCTAATCACAGAAAAGATGATCACTCTAATCTCGTGCTTAACCTAGTGCAGAAAATATGTTGTTATTTGTACTTACTGAGAGCTCTGCGTTTAATAGTTTCTGGTGCTTCTGAATTAATAGTTTTTAATTGTTCAACGTATGTTTTTGGTTTATGAATAGGTTTATGTGATCTCATTACAGTTCTTACTGGTATCGGAGTACTTCTCTTTCCTGTAAAACAAACACAAAATATTATTATACTATGTACCTTTAGGCTTGGGTATTACGGCCATATTTTTTGATAGCCCTATGTACCTTCTTCATCAAGCATAATATTTCTCATTTTTAAAATGAAATCGAGATTAATGTCCTACATTTTTGCATTAACCTGGATTGGTAGAGAGAGAGAGAGAGAGAGAGAGAGAGAGATAGAGAGGGAGAGAGAGAGAGAGAGAGAAATGGGGTTTAACATCCACTCGACACAAACTAGGCTATTTCGGGACTAACTTAAGGTTAAATTAAATTTCAATAATTTTCTCATGTCTAGTGGGAGGATATCGGAGCACCTGGAGAAAACTTACGCAGTATGACAGGCCACCCATCTTGTCGTGCAAGCGGGGAATCGAAAACATGCTACCTGACTCAGTTACAGATCTTAGGATCTAAAGTGCCAGGGATAAACCATTCGGCCACAAAACCCTCCTGAGACAGATCCAACTCACGTAACTTTATGACTCATGAATAAGACAAATTACTAACCCTTGAATTTTGATGTAGAAGCCTCTCTATTGATCTTCTGTAGTTGTTGTACATATGTTACAGGTTTATGTGCTGGACCAACAGGTTTAGATGGTCTGTAAGAACTTATAGCATGACTTGATGTACCACCTAGAATATAATTATAATAACTCATAGCATGACTTCTACTTGATATACCATACAATTATAATAACTCATAGCATGACTTGATATACCACACAATTATAATAACTCATAGCATGACTTAATGTACCACACAATTATAATAACTCATAGCATGACTTCTACTTGATATACCACACAATTATAATAACTCATAGCATGACTTGATGTACCACCTATAATATTAGAAATGAAATGAAATGGGGGTTTAACATCCTACTTTTCTGAAAGTCTGTCAAGGGTTCTGTAACGTGAGCGCCAAGATGTAACACAAGACCTCAGTCTTTCATCACATTTCAACATCTAGACATTGTTCCTTGTCAGGCCATCCTGCACCACTGACAATGGGCAATTGCGCGGGAAATCCTAAGCTTCCTCCCAGCCAAGAGCAGACTTCCTAATTAGCTGAACCAAAATGTTATGCACTAAGCCACCGCAGGTGATCTTATTCCAAACAGGGATTTGAAACCCACCACATGACTCAATGACAGATCTAGTATCAAGAGAGAGAGAGAGGGTTTAACATCCACTTGAAACAAACTAGGTCATTTCGAGACTAACATGGTTCAATTCATTTCGATAAATGGCTTGCGCATAGATGTTTTTAGCAGTGGGAGGAAATTGAAGGACCCGGAGAAAAGCCACGAGATTGAACAGGCCACCCGCCTCCTTGTCACGTAAAACCGGGCATTCAAAACCACGCCATTTGACTCAATGACAGACCTCAAGATACAACGCACACGTGCTAACCATTCGGCCATCCAACCCCTCTCCTTACAATAAAACATGCACACGTTAAACTATTTGACCAACCAACCCCTAACTTACCTAATGACTGCCTTGAAACTAATGGTGTTGAATATTTGTGTTTTGGTTTCATTTCCTGTAAACGCTCAGCGTAAGTTTTTACTCGACGGATTCCACTAATTTCCGGTTGAGTAGAGGTTTTAATTATTGCTGGTGCAGAGCCTCGTCTTGCTTCTTTAATATCTACTGAAAATTAAAATTAGATTCATCATTCACAAGTGTCTTTCATTTGGGTGAAAAAAGTTATTATTAATTTAGAAACTACCACTGTATAGGCTTACTGTAATCATTACAAACATTGTATATTGTAATTATTACCCATACTGTGTATGGTAATTATAACCTACATTGTGTATTGTAATATTACCCACATTGTGTATTGTAATTATTACCCACATTGTCTATTGTAATTATTACCAACATTGTGTATTGTAATTATAACCAATATTGTGTATTGTAATTATTACCAACATTGTGTATTGTAATTATAACCAATATTGTGTATTGTAATATTACAAACATTGTGTATAGTAATTATTATCCACACTGTGTACTGTAATTATTGTACACAAGATATTTCTAGAAAAGACACATAATTAGATAGACACATCCTGGAATAGACATGCAATCAGAGAGAGAGAGAGAGAGAGAGAGAGAGAGGGAGAGGTCCATTCGACACAAACTAGCTCATTTTGGGACTAACATATGGTACAATTTTATATCAATAATTCGCTTGTGCTTAGGCGTCTTTAGCAGTTGGAGGAAACTGGAGGACCTGAAGAAAAGCCATGAGGTTGGACAGACGACCCTACTCCTTGTCACGTACAACCGGGAAATCGAAACCACGCCAGTTGACTCAATGACAGACCTTATAGTAAATCGTGCACACCCGGCCACAATCAGACAGAAAAGACAGACAATAAGATAGACATACCAGTGGAGGATCGATCACTTCTATCTGTACGTGATGTATCACGTGGTGTAAGTGATGCCAGTCGATCTACGTAAGATTCAGAAGGTCCAGGCTGAATATCTTTTCTTGTGACTTCTGGTCGCTGTAATTTAACCAACTTTGTAAAGGGTTTAGGTTTGTATTCGATTCTCGCTCTACGTTCATCGGAAGATAACTCTCTGATTCTCGCTCTACGTTCATCAGGAGGAGATAACTCTCTGTGGAGATCTTCTGGAGATTCGTGTTCTGCCATCTGTCGGACGTATTCCATTAAATCGCTGCTGGTATGAGCAGACGGGAGATACTCTTCACTCTCCATTAGCTCCAACTCAAGATCTTCCATATTGTATTTATGCGCAATTTCAGCCAATTTTTCTTCTTTCATTCGTCTCTCATATTGCTCTTGCCGTTTCTGATAATTAATCGCAGGTTGTGGAGTTATCGACGTTCCAGATAATCGCCCGTCCACTCGCCATTTTGTACGAATGGACGATACACTTGGTTTCATATTTTCCCATTCTTTAGCTTTGATCTTTAACTCTGCTGCTTTTCGCACACTGCGCAGCGGCGTTTTCTTTGGCGGTGGTGATTTCTTTATTGTTCTAGTGGCACTGAATTTGGAAGCCAACTTGGGCGGCTTGGCTCTTTCTGATTTTGGAGTCGGTGGTTGCCTTGGTGATGGAACTGGTAGCAAAGATGGCGCTGGTTGTTCTACTAAAATATCTCCCATTAATATTTCTGCTTCAAGCAGACGCTGCCTCATGAAATGTGCCTCTTGTTGGCGTCTTGTTTCCTGTCGTTCGCGTGTATGAGTTTCTATTTCTTTACCTGTGAAGGTTGACTGAAATACAAAAAACAAGTTGAATATGATTTCATATACTTTAGGGAAAATCTATTTTCAGACTGGGTGGGGAAAGTCTATTAACAGGCTGGGTCGGGAAAGTCTATTAACAGGCTGGGTTGGGAAAGTCTATTTTCCGGCTGAGTTGGACACAATATGATTAAAAAAGTGTGATGGACAGTCAGACGAACCATCGAAGGGGGACATCAATCATTTATTGACTTACATCAAAACCACCAGCCGTTCGATACGGATGTATTTCATGTTCTCTTAGTTTATCTAATCTCTCACGATATTCATCCTGCTGCTTGACGTGACGATCGGCCATCCATTTCTGTAAAACACGTCTCTTCTCTTCTTTATCTTCGGTTGCGTCTGTTTTATGTATCAGTTCTTCTAAAGTTTCGACACCAGTTGAACCGTAGATAACTCTCCTACAAAATTATGTCAATTTAAAACATTATTGATTCAACAAATAGAAAATATATTCTGAGACAAGTTACTTTGAGAGAGAGAGAGAGAGGGAGAGAGAGAGAGAGAAGTGTGCATGTACAACAAGTCTTGGCAGTTTGAAGTCAATAAAGAGCCAATGATACATCTGTATAGCTGCTTCTACTCTTTTAGTTTTCAAGCACCTGTTTTATGAAATAATCTACCTTTTAGTTTAAGATGTTGTACATCTCTATATTCTTTTAAAAAACAATTTAAATCACATTTATTTAATCGGGCTTTTAACTGACTGTATACAACTGTTAAAATATCCATAATTTTGGTTTTATATTATCACTTTTTAAAGTGCCCATGAACACATGATGTGAAAGAGCGCACAATTTATAATAATAATAATATTATTGGCTGAGAAAGCAGACATGAATAGAAGAAAAGGGGGTAGCTACATCCGTTATATTATCCATCAAATTCTATTTAAGGCTGTACTTCTGTCCAGCGATGACCATTTCATATTTTAACAGTAATATTTTTATAGATGACATTTAATCAACACAGATCCTATTTTGTTTTCTTTTTTTTTATAGTCACTACATTAGGATCTGGCTATAACCCATGTTTTTTTATAGTCACTACATTAGGATCTGGCTATAACCCATGTTTTTTTATAGTCACTACACTAGGATCTGGCTATAACCCATGTTTTTTTATAGTCACTACACTTGGATCTGGAAGAGTTGTTATATAGCCGGTGTTCTGACGTGAGGGATTAACCAATGAAATTGTCTGTAAGTATCCCACTAGAAACATCAACACCGATTAGTTAATGAAATGTCTGAAGTTATAGGGTCAAAGGTTACTCGTATGACACCCGACATGACCACCCAATACAACCGGTCAGATCTTCATGTAGGGGAGGCCATCAAGAGTATAACAAGATGACTAGATATCAACATCCCGCGCCCTTGCACTTGTTTGGAAGAAATAAGGAAAAGTAACTTGTTTCTGCTATTTGTAATCAATATAGAAATGTATCAAATTTCGCAAACAGTTTCACTGGTCCTAATATTGTGGCCCTGTTTAGTAGATATTGCTCTCTATTTCTGAAAACTAATGACTAATTGCTATTTACTAGAAGATTTGAGATAATTCATGACATTAAGCTCTGGTTTTAAAAATTAGACATGACTACATAGAAAATAGAAATATTTTGCAAGTGGAGGGAACTGGAGCTTTAGACAAATCTCATATTCCGACACATGGAATATCAATTTACAGAATTTCATACTCTGATCACAGTAACTCGGCAAGGCAGGGTCGCTACTCCCTGTAAGGTTTGCACAACAACCTTTGCCTACCTCAATTAGCTGCTGTATGTTAAACAATAAACTTATACATCAGAAAATAAAATACTATAATAGGTTAATGTTTGTACAAAGTTTCAAAAAGATTTCTTGAACAGATAATAAAATATGCTCCAGAAACAAAATCAGGATGGAAGGCTGGATTTCAGAAAATAAAATAATGGGTAAAATTATTTTAAAGGTATCTTGAACAGTCAAATGGGTTTCCATGGAAACACATAAAATTATCAAATCTGAGAAATTCAAAATAAGTGCCATGAAGATATCTTGAACGATTTATGAGATATGCTCCAGAAACAAAATTGTACACCAAAAACTAAGTAAAATTTGTTTCCATGGAAACACACAAAATATTAATCCCAGAAATTCCTAAATAGCAAAAGGCACAACTACTGTAACGGGTTGATGTGTGTGCAAAGTTTCAGAAAGATATCTTGAACGGTTTATGAGATATGCTCCAGAAACAAAATTGTACACTAAAAACTAAGTCAAATGTGTTTCCATGGAAACACAAAAAAAATTAATTAATGAAATTACTAAATAGCAAAAGGCACAACTACTGTAATAGGTTGATGTGTGTGCAAAGTTTCAGAAAGATATCTTGAACGGTTTATGAGATATGCTCCGGAAACGAAATTGGACGGACGGAAGGACGGACGGACCCCATTTCAATATCCCTCCCTAACTTCGTTCGGCGCGGGATAAAAAACCGAAACGATCTGTAATTTAATCAGATTGACATTCTATTTACCTGGACTCAGCTTTGAATTTGAGAGCTTCTGCTTCTTCATGAGACAAACCAGTTGCTTCAAGATCGACTCCACCCTCTAATAATACTTCACCAATAATATCACTCAGATCAGATAGACCTGATAATCTAACATCTTCACTGAAATATAAAATATACTCTATATAATAAACTCTGTATAATAAACTTGACTCTTAAAACATATTTATCGTTACATCAGGGGACATAATCCATGAAGTTATTGTTAAATACATGCCAATTTCGAAAGGAACCAAGATCTTTGGGAGATAAACATGTATTTCAAGTTTCGTTAAAATCAGATAAAAAGTTTGACCTGTAGAGTTTAAAGTTACAATTTCATATTTTCTAAGAAAGTCAAAACATAATTATTTCTATGTCTTTTGCTCAATAGGTTATCAAATCACTATTATACGATCATGGGCATTATTTCCCACCCTTAAAAATCTATGACACAGGAAATAACAACACAATTACCTCCCCTGTTTTGCTATTGACAACATGGGGCAGCCATTTTCCAACGTTGGAATTTGAAGTTAAAAATGATATTTTTGCCAATTTCTCAGCTGGCAATAGCGAATTATAGGATTAATAGGATTATTCTTTAACAAGGTAGGACTGTTTATGGATACCATCTATTTTAAGGCTTTATTTTAATACATTTTAAAAATACAACTTGAAAATTTGCAATTGCAACTTTAAACAAACAAATTTTGGAAGGACGGACAGGGGCGACAATAATAAAGGCCTACATGCACAAGAAGATGTGGACATATAAAAAGGGATAGGAACATATATACATCTACCAATTATGGCTATTTCTTGTCAAAATTTCAAATATTCATAACTTTGCACATAATATATATAATGAAATGAAATAGGGTTTAATGTCCTACTGTTCTGCTCCTATATTGGGCTAATGAAGACAGGCATATGCCATACAGTGTGCTAGGAGGGAAATGTTGCCCGAGCATCGGCACTATGGTCTACTCTTTATGTTGAATTCCAACTGCCAAGGGACCTTTTATGTGCACGCCAATTTACACACGGGGCCTCAGTTTTTGGTCCCATCCGAACGACTAGACAACTGTCCCTGTAAGGCCTTCCGTCTTGCACCAGATATATAAATATTAGAATTAGAATAACTAACGTTTGTTTGTTTTCTGTAGATCTGCGTGTCGTAGTTCTCGCTGATTTTCTAGCACTGGCCACTGGTGATTTCTGTGAAATTGTTGGTTTTTGTTTATCTTCCATACTTGAAGTCATTACCTGTAAAAATACAAATAATCTTATTGTTCATGTCTTTATATGTTAATTTTCCATTTTTCAGAAAAATATCAATTTTCCACGGTTTAACCCAGGCTTACTCAAATTAAGAAAAGAAAACAATGACAGATAAGTGTTCTGGTTGGGATTCACATCAAAATTAAAAGAGATCCATCCGAAGATTCCAGCAAAAGACATAGGTTTTGCTGGTTTGTTCTTTTCAAACTGGTAGTTTGCCAGAGATTCCTCAAATGTCTATCAGAGATTTTAAACAAGCAGTAGGTCTTTCTTTAGGCCTGAAATGTTATATAAACTATTAACCAGACAAGACCATAATCAACTCTCAATGCCATCAGATGGCTGCGATATAATTAGATTTAAATACGTTTTGTGGTCAATTAGATTGAAATATGGTCGATTTGGTTACTGTAAAAACGGATAATCAGATTTTGTTTATTATCGTACCAACGGTAGTAATGACAACCAAGGCTAGCCTATATAATATAGGCCTATAATTTTATCACCGATATCTAGGCTCAGAGTGAAGTAATTTGACTGAGATATTCAGCATATTCTCTTTACATTATCTATATTTTTAACTATTATAGCGAGAACTGTCAACTCTTTATCTAAATCTTACCTAATACTGCTTTAAGTAAAACCTGATGAAAAAAAAAAAATTACAATCTAACCTCATCTCTCGCTCTATCAAGTTGTATTTCCCGATCTGTTAGTCTAGGATGTCCAGCCTCATCTCTAGCTCTATTAAGTTGTATTTCTCTATTAGTTAGTCTTGGATGTCCAGCCTCATCTAATATCTCTAGCGTACTCATTATCTAAAATAACAAATTAATATATATACACTACAATATTTCATGAACTTAAAATGGGGGTTTAATACTCATTATCATTATTACATATGGGGGATGCGCGATTCGGAATCCAGAATGTCCCTTATTGACAGAATCACAATCGAGTGACGCAGAATTTAGTCCTGTCAGTTCTGTCAGTCCTGACAACAGAGGTGGTGTGAGTAGAATCATGACGTAATTTAACACAACGAATATGTTTCGGCTGCATGGTTGGTTGAGATATTTACTTATCCAGTTGACGCATGCGTTGTAGCCCGAAATAACCCTTTTCACTCGATTGTCACTATTTTTGGGATTGAGAGAATTCAATTCCCGAACGTTCTTATTACCATGATTACATATGGTAATTAATTTGAGAGGAAGAATTCATCCCTTCCTAGTGTGTCATTATAACACTAAAATATTTCATGTACGTAAACGGGTTCTTCTACATGCTACACAGTAGGACTGTTTATTTTTAATCCCATCCCCAACAACTATAGGCACATGTAAGAAATGAGTGGGGAAGAATTTTGCCTCGACAGCTGCAAAGGTTTCACTCTACTCTTCTTTTTATCCCCAACAGAAAACGGGTCATCTAAATGTATACACAATAATATAAAACATACTTACCCTTCTAGAACTCTCAAAATCTTGTTCAATATTATTCGACATTTCATCAATGGCAGCCACCTGATCGTTTAATTCACGTAATCTTTTAATCAACGATGTTTTAGAATATCTCATACTTTCTCTTGGTAATACACCCAGATACAAACTGAAGAAGAATATGGTCGATACATTTAAATATATATCCAATTTATTGACATGTGGATGGTATCAAAAACAAAATAAATATGAAATGAATTGAAATAGGTTTTAATGTCCTACTTTTCTGCATCATGCAGGATATTGAAAGAGAGAGAAATGGGGTTTAACATCCACTTGACACAAACTACATGTAGGTCATTTAGGACTAACATATGGTTCAATTTTATTTCAGTAATTCGCTTGCGCTTATTGGGTCTTTAGTGGTGGGAGGAAACCGGAGGACACGGAGAAATCCCACGAGATTGGACGATGACCCTACTCCTTGTCAGGTACAAGCTGGGAATCAAAACCATGCCACTTGACTCAATTACAGACCTGATGATTCAACACGACCCAACCCTGAACATGTTATATGAAAGGGCACACTATAAATATGCTGTAATAATAAAAATAATAATAATAATATAACATATGCAGTGTGATATGAGGAACATTTTGTTCATAATAAAGCATGTAGAAGTCGATCTACCTGTATGTGAATGAATTCTTTAATTCACAGAAATCAAGCATCATGATTTAACAAAAATACATACTTAATTAATTCCGTAGAATCCTCCATTCTCAATATTTGTGTAAAATTATATTTCACAAACTTTTAAATACATTATTATTTTTTCTTTTTCCATTATCTTACTTAGATGATATGACAGTAGAATGATGTCATACAAATGTATGATGTCATAACTGAATGATGTCACTAAGATCAGGAGCTAACAAGGTAAATGAAATGAAATATAGTTTAACGTCCTATTGTTCTGTTCTGACTGTGCTATGAAGGAAATTTTGCCTGGGCAATGGCACTATGACCTACTCTTATATCGAATTCCAACTGCCGAGGGATCATTTACCTGCACGCCAATGTATACACGGGGCCTGGTTTTTTGTGCCATCCTAACGACTAGACAGCTGTCCTTGTCAGGCCCTCCATCCTACACCACTAAAAAGGGGAAACCACGCAGGAAAATTCTGATGAACAGCTAACATGTCACATGACTACATGGGGTTGTTATTTCCGCGAATCTTTTACGTCCACTCCATTTCTAACATCAGAACATCCAGATACAATATCCTTGTCAGGGTAGTTTGCATTACTCTTGACAAACCAGAGGAAAGAGTGAAAACTCCCATTGTTATCAACGTGAAGAAATCATAGCTATAAATTTATATTATCACGCCCAAGTCCTTGGTTTCAAATAGCAGTTTTTCAAAATGGTGATCTTAAATTAAAACTGACAAAGCCTACCTATCCTGATTGGTGTATCTGTTTTTACGATCTAACATTTTAGCTGTGACTGGATCGTAACCATAGTGACGTGGAGGTAAAACTGGTTCAAGACTTTCTCGTAACAGTTCTTCTGTTTCACCTAATAATATAAACAAATATACGGTCATGTGATCACTACATGTACTAGTCATGTGATCACTACTGGTCATGTGATCACTACTGGGCTAAATGACTTTCCACAAACATCACCTATCAAGGCACATCTGCTATGTGCTATGAGGAAAATTTTGCCCAGGCAGCAGCACTATGGCCTACTCTTATATCGAATTCCAACTGCCAACTAATCTTTTATGTGCACATCAATGTATTCATGGAACCTTGGTTTTTCAGCCCATCCGAACTACTAGACAGCAGTCTGTCCTGCACCACTGACAAGGGGAAACAACGTCGGATAATCCCGATGAACTCTCTCGGTCAATGCAGGGATCGAACACCCGACCTCCAGACTAGCCAACCGGCATCTTACCCACTTAGCCACCATGGCTCCGTGAAATACATAAAGTTATGAAAACAAAAACTATTTACCGATATGTTGATGTCTAGTTGAGGATGGTTGAAATCGTTCGTCCTGTTTATCGTCTCTATCAGGAATATCATTAAAAACATCAGATGCTCGAATATCAACCACATTTAAATATGATCTTCCACGTTCTTGATTCTATATAAAAAATATTAACACATTTATAGCCACAAAAAATAAAATTTCACCATGTTTGTTTCATGTTTAGTTTAATAACCGAAATGGTGTCAATTCTATGATATATAATTACTTGAGGTGCTCCACTATCTATAACCAATGCTAGACAAGACGAGCGTCTAAGACACCACTGAAACTGAAACGATATCACCCTTAGTGGAGAGAGAGAGAGAGAAATGGGGCGTTACATCCATTCAACACATTTTGGGGCTAACATATCGTTCAATTTTTATTTCAATAATTTGCTTGCGGGTAAGGGTCTTTAGCAGTGGGAGTAAACCAGAGGACCCGGAGAAAACGCCTGAGGTTGGACAGACGACCCTACTCCTTGTCACATACAACCAGGGAATTGAAACCACGCCAGTTGGCTCTATGACAGACCTTATAAAACAGCGCGCACGTGCTAACCATTCAGTCATCCAGTCATATGGTTCAATTTTATTTCAATAATTCACTTACGCATAGGGGTCTTTAGCAGTGGGAGGAAACTGGAGGACCCAGAGAAAACCCACGAGGTTGGACAGGCGACCCTACTCCTTGTCACGTACAACCGGGGAATCGAAACGAGGCCAGTTGACTCAATGACAGACCTTATAATACAACGCCCACACGCTACCCATTCGGCCACCCAACCCCCACCCTTGGTGAAAGCAGACGTTATTATCTTACCTCTCCTTCTTCACCATCTTTAAAACCAAGTTTAAGATAAATATCAGGTGGTAAAACACGGCCATGTTGTCGTTTATTGTATTCTATAACGGCTTCCTGTATCGGGTCACTTCCTGTAATAACATCATCAAACATAAACTGGAACTTGATAAAAAGAGGTGGGGGGGGGGACAGTTTGACCTGCCATATTAAAGAAATATTGTACCTCTTACTAGATCTTGTTTTTTGTTTTAAGGAAATTGCTTTGTTGTGCCTTGATATATTCTTTGGACCTTAAACATACATTATGTAAGAATTAAATCTGCCTAATGCAGGTCTTTCTTTTACCTTCAAATATTATATAATTTTCTTAATTAGACATTTATTCACCTGACAAACCTACAATCCACCCTCTAGAGCATCGGATGGCTGAGATTTACAAACCTACAATCCACCCTCTAGAGCATCGGATGGCTGAGATTTACAAACTTGTGAGATTTAAACATTTAATGATAATATGGATAATAGAGATTTTGTCTTGGTTGTCCAGTACCATTTCTACGATAGTAAACGATCTATGCTGAAAATTAAGGTAATTTGACTGAAATTTTCAACAGATCCCTTTTCATTATCTATTTGTGAATTATTATAGCGAGAACGACCGGGGCCCTGTTTCACGAAATTTTAACTAGAGATAAAGTCCAAATTTTAGTAGATACTTCAATTTTGATTGGCTAAGCACTAAAATCAATCTAATATTATCCAATCAAATTACTAAAATTGGATTTCATCTTAGTTAAAATTTCGTGAAACAGGCCCCAGCTCTTTATCTAAATCTTACATAATGTATCTTTAAGTATGTAATGCCCGATTTGATATTTATTATAGTGAGAACTGTCAACTCTTTATCTTAATCTTACATAATGTATCTTCAAATATGTCCGAGTGTGATTAGTATTATACCTGTATCTTTAGTTATGGATGTCCAGGCGTCTGCTCTTCGTGCCGATTCAGCTTCCAGAATCGGATCTGGTTCAGCGATAGCATCAATCATTTCTTTAGTCATGGTTGAGAAATCAACCTGAATCAAACAAATAAATCATCACTTCAAGTACAGTTAGAAAAGAGAGAGAGAGAGATGGGGTTTAACGTCCACTTGACACAAACAAGGTCATTTTGGGACCGACATATGGTTCAATTTTATTTCAATAATTCGCTTACGCATAGGGGTCTTTAGCAGTGGGAGGAAACCAAAGGACACAGAGAAAACCCATGAGGTTGGATAGGCGACCCTACTCCTTGTCACGTACAACCGGGGAATCAAAACCAGGCCAGTTGACTCAATGACAGACTTTATGATACAGCGCCCACAAGCTAACCATTCAGCCATCCAACCCCCCAGATTGTTTTAATCAACATTTAGTAACTGTAAGTCAAGAGTGACTGTGTATATGCATCGCCATTGTACTATGGTAGTCATTCTGGGCTTGATAACAAGAGGGAACCCTCGTCGAAACTTCCTCAGAAATAAACTTCTAAGTAACTTTTACTCCATCATCTACAAATGTTTTACATATTTAAAATAAATGTTTTACCTTTTTCTTCTTTTGTCTTTGTTCTTTCATCTTTAAAGCAAGTAAATATTGAAATCTGGTATCTGTGTCTGCCTCAGATCCTAGTATCTCATCTAATCTAAGATGATGATCAAACGCTCCTACAATACACACAAACTAGGTCATTTTGAGACTAACATAAGGTTCAGTTTTATCTCAATAATTGCGTTACTGATGTTATATCATTATTTTCTATTTGTTTTCTTCTAATGTTTATGTGTTAAACTTACATAATGGCAACCATGTCATTAGTCAGTCTCGGTCACCCTTCCCATAATAAATCCCATAATTCTGGCATTAATATAAACAAACGTGAGTCGTGACGACGAATTAGGATTAATTTAAAAAAGATAGATATGACCCATGAAGAGAGAAATGAAGAAGAGTGATGGAGATTGAACTGGCATGGAATCAAATGGATTTTTTGAAATGTCATTCTTGAATTAATTTCATTGGCGTCAACATCTTGTTTGAGGACTAGTTACCTCCCTTAGACTTTATGATAATGTAAAAGACCGATAATCTAGTCAATGACCTATTATTCACATATGTTGACAACGCATCCAGACTAATATTCTTAGAATATTTTTCTGGATGATAGAGACTAGTCATTAGTTGGCCCGACTCTCTTTTTACATTGCTCCAGTGAACACAGAAAAAATACCAAGGTTTTACTAGGAAAGATTCCCTTTTTCCAGTGGAAATAACAAATTTGTTCTTGACAAATCAGAGAGGATTGTGCCTGACATTGTCTGTGACAGGTGTTTTATATCCAGGTGTATGTATGTATTTTTTACCTGGTTTAATAGCGTAACCATCATGTAATGGTTCTTGTTCTTCTGTTTCACTTTCTTCTTCTTCTTCTTCATCTTCTTCCTGATGGTAAAACAAACCAATTATTCATACCGGTATTTGTTTTCGAAGCAATCCAATCTCAAGAAAGTAATGGTGTATATATTTACCTGTAGAATGTAATGGTGTATATATTTACCTGTAGAATGTCCTCTTCTGATGTTTGTTTTACTTTAACGACTTTACTTCTACAAATAGAAAGTATATCATTTATTTTACAGGAGACACAGACTAGGTCATTTCGGGAATAACATAGGGTTCAATTTTATTTCAATAATTCGCTTGCGCATAGGGGTCTTTAGCATTGGGAGGAATCTGGTGGACCCAGAGAAAACCCACTATGTTGGACAGGCGACCCTACTCCTTGTCACGTACAAACGGGGAATCGAAACTACGGCAGTTGACTCAATGACAGACTCTTTGATACAGCGCGCACATGCTAACCATTTGGCCATCCACCCCCTCTCATTTTTTAAAGAGATGAGAAAGATAGAACTGGGAGTTTAACAATCGAAGGCTGAGCTTGGTGGAATAATTCTAGAATATTTTTAGTATTTAATCTATAGCTATATTCTCAATCATTATTTCACTATCTGTAATATTGACACAAACCTTTTCTTAGTTGTGATAATTTTCTTGGTTTGTATTTTTTCTTCCGTCTGCTCTTTCATCTTCTGAATCTTTTCCTTCTCAGATTCCACTTTTTGTAGAAGTTGCTCGGGCGACAAAAGTTGTTCAGGGTTGACAAACTGCCCCAAATGAGACTCCTTCCCAAGTTCAATATAGGGAGGCTTCGTTTCTTGTAATTGCAATAAGGGAATTCCAAACCTGTGTTTTGGGTCTTTTGAGGGAGCCATGGATCTCTGTGGTGGTTGTCCACCAGATGCTGGTGCTGGTGGTAATATTGGAATTTTATTGGCCAAGTTTTTAAATTGAAATTGAGGATAACTCTGTAATTTTAGCAACTGTATTGGTTCTCTGGGCTGTTTATGATGTGGTTGATGCTCAGACCATGCTTCTTGCGGAATCTTTGGGAAGAAAAAGTTGGGCTGATTTGTGTCTCTTTCTGCGGTCATCCTTAGAAATTTAGGAATGAGGTTCACGTTGTTTGCATCAGTTTTTAACGCAGCGTTGACATAACCAACATGACGACTATTATCCAATCCTAGCAATGGAAATCCCTTATTTTCTTTACCATGAGCTGGTTTAGTTTTCAAGCTGCCAGATGCAACAGGTTGTATGTTCTCATGCTGGAGATATTTCAATTCTTGTAAAACTCGGTCAACTTTAACGGGTCCTTTTTTATCCAACTTGTTCGAACTGCGATGTAGTGAAGTTTCTAATTCATCTAGGTTCATGCTATTATCGGTTGGGTTATATAACGAGTCGTGTCGACGCTCCGGAGATCTGTGACGTGTGCTCTGTTGTTGTCGTTGAGGTGGTTCTCTCAGTACCCGATGCTGCGTTGGTAAACTTGATACACTAGTGTCATCTATAGCTCCCATCATGGCCATCAAACTATGATGCTGAACCTGAGAAAAGACAACCAAAACATCGATATGAAATGAAATGAAATGTGGTTTAACATCCTACTGTTCTGCTCCGAACTGGCCTAATGAAGACGGGCATACGCCATACAGTGTGCTATGAGGGAAATTTTGCACGGGCAGCGGCCCTACGGCCTACTCTTATACTGAATTCCAAATGTTGAGGGATCTGTTACGTGCATGCCAAGGTACACATGGGACTTCGGTTTATCATCTGATCTTAATGACTAGACAGCTGTCCTGGTCAGACCCTCCTGCACCACTGACAAGGTGAAAGGACCTCAGAAAATCCTGATGAACTTTATTGGCCAATGTAAGGATCGAACACACAACCATCAGGCCCGTGGCTCCACATCCAATACAGCAATAACACGCAGTCAACTCAATCTGATCTAAATCAAACAAGTTATTCAAAAATATTCTGCTATTTTATATAATTAGAAACATACCTCCATTATTCTTCTCATTTCTGATCGAACAATATTCTGTAGTTGATTGGCTAAACTTGAATTAAAACCAGAATCATTATAAGACTGTCTTCTGCTCACATGACCCTGTTGACCTTTTGTATCGGGACTACGACTACGAGATCTGGTAGCTTTAACAGACATTTGTGGACTGGTTGATCTAGCATTCATTTCAGTATGTATCTTAGTACTTGTAGGACTGGTAGATCTTTCTAAAGAAGATGTCAATGAGGCTTTTAAGATGGACGATCTTTCTAGTGAACTGTTTTTTGATTGGTTGGGAGAAGATGCTCTATCACCATTCTTTGAAGACTTCTTATCCCGGAATTCACGTTGACTTGTAATTGATTCGTTTCTTGTACTTGTCGTAGTTTTGCGTTGTAAAGACGATTGGACAGAACTCTCTATTATTTCGTTTGGTCTACTCTTGCCTTTCTTTTTGCTCACAGGCGTACTGGTGTTCGGAGAAGCAGAATTGTTTCGTTCAGGAGAACTGTCAGGGTAAACGGTCCGATTCAAAAATGACAGATCTTCTCTGGTTGGACTTCCAGTTCTAGAAATCACAAATAAAATGAGGTTTACCATTCGACATAGAAATCCCCCCAACAAATATAAACATATATAAAGTTAAAAATTAAATACTATATACTACAAGCATGTGGTCGTGGGATCAAATCCACAATACATGTATCCATGACAACCCAATGTCACATATATCTATAGTATTGAATATTGAAATGAAGTAAGGTTTACTCTTCATTGATTTCCAACTGTCAAGGGTTATTTTACGTGCACATAAATGTATGTGTACACAGGACCTAAGTTTTTCATCCCATTTGAACGACTAGACAAGGGGAAACCATGTGGGAAACCATGAGGAACTTCTCAGTCAACACTGGAATTGAACCTAGGAGTTCCTTACTCACTGAGCAATTGTCTTCCTCAGTGAGTCAGTCTTATTTACTGAGCCATTGTGTTACTCACTGAACCACCTTGGCTTCCAGTCATAGTAAATACTACTTGTATATGAAAGAACTTTACAGAGGAACATGGTTCATTTCGTGTTCTATTTGGATTTCAGTACTGTTTCAGATTTTCTCTCAAAGACACACGATTTCTGACTTGGAATATTTGAAAAGTAAATTCGCTGTGACCACTCAGACTGATAATTAGGTCATTTAAGCTGAACATATCGTAATTCTATGGTTGCTATGGCCATGTGTATAATAAATAGATCTGTGCGAGAACTCTGACAATCTGACGGACTCACCCTCTGATGACTGACAACGACTGTTTTAATTCTCCGTTTAAATCGTAAGATTGTAGGGTACTCTCGCTATCACAACTTTCATCATCGGCATCTCTACAATACAAAAATACAGGATTAGTTTCTTTCTAGTATTCACTCTAATCTGGGTATCATTTAATCTTGTGTATTTAGCACTAATTTCTTTCACATTCATTTAATATCATATCTTTGTTTAAAATCACCGAAAATCATCTTATTTGTACTTGTGTCTAGTTTAAAGCTGACCAATCAATTTTGATAGTGAGAGTCTAATTTACAAGCATTTAATTTCTCAATCATTGTTAAAAAATAAACAACCCAATTGATTATTGATGTATAATGATTAATTTTTGAATAGTGGTCAGGAAATTAAATACATGTACTTGTAAATTATCATTATCAAAATTGAATGGTCAGCTTTAAACAGGACACAAGTACAAATTAGATGATTTTTGGTGATTTTAAATGATTTTTTAATATCGTCATATTTTATAACTTTCTAGTATGAATATTCTGGCAAGTTAAATACGCTTTAATATCATCATATTTTGGAGTTTGACTGACAAACTTAACCCTTTAGCTCCATTGACCTCCAGGAACCTCACTAACTATGGCGCCTTATCTCCACTTCATGTACACAATTTTTAAAAAACCTTATTTTCATGCTTTGATTTGATGCCCCCCCCCCTCTGAAATGGGTTCCTGAGTCCGTATCTCTCTAAGTGTCACTGTGTGAGAGAGAGAAATGGGGGTTAATGTCCACTCAACACAAACTAGTTCATTTGGGGACTAACATATGGTTCAATTTTATTCCAATAACTCGCTTGTGCGTAGGGGTCTTCAGCAGTGGGAGGAAACCGGAGGACCTGGAGAAAACCGGACAGGCGACCCTACTCCTTGTCACATACAACCAGGGAATCGAAACCACGCCAGTTGACTCAATGACAGACCGTACGATACAGCGTGCTGGTGCTAACCATTCAGCCATCAAACCCCCCGTAAATTAAAAAGATATTTTGGGTTGATCATAATGTGATATTTACCCTTCTAGAATATGTTGGTAGGCATTTCTAATTCCATCTTCTGATGTTGTTGTCTTATTGGCTTCTTCGTAACTTTTACCAACAAATTGATCTGGTGGTTGTGATCTACTGTTGCGTAGCGATTGTTCCAGCTGGGATCTAACTGGCGAACGCACGGGTGAAGCGTGTTGTTTTTCAATGGATGCTTGTCGTACTTTCTTTTTGATCTTCTTTTTTCTCTCTTGGGGTTCGGATATAAAACCTTGTCCAGCATCCTGGATCGCGTACGTATTTGGGTTGTATTTATTTTCCAGTAACCACAGTGACAACAGAATCAACTGAGCAGGAATTTGAATTTTTATTGTGGGGTGACTGTCAAAGATATCCTGTTGCCCGAGACCAAATGAATGACTCTTCCTGCACCAAGCTTCCAACCATTCCAATAGTAACTGAAGAAGTTTGTATTTCCTTCCGAACTTCACATCGAGGCTCCAGGAGTTGTTCTCATCAACATCGGGTTTATAAAGATGGTCTTCGGATTGAGAAAATTTGGAAGCCAAATTCGTGACATTCTGCTGACTCCCCTTTCTTGGCGATTTTTGCGAATGGTCAAAGAAACTTTTAGACGGAGAATCTTCCACGAGGACGTCCAATCCGCCTTCACTGTTGAATCTCTTCACGACACCCTGCTTATTTGTCTCTTCCACAACGCTTTTACTGCGGAATAGCCCTTGAGATTTGGATCCGGGCGTCGGTTCCTGATTGAGAGAGAGGTTAGAGTTGTATTTCTGGGTCAATATACTTTGACTTCGAGCAAAAGCCAAGGATGATCTACTGGAACTTCTGGAGGCGGACATTACAATGAGAGAATATTTCTTCTTCTCAGCACTAGTAAAATCTCTTTCTGAAAAAACGGCCAATTCCCTACTGATGATTGCATCGGCAAAGGACCCAAGAAGAGGCAGATCTCGCGGACGATTTACGCTTCTTTCTAAATCCAATAGCTTTTCAAAACTCACAGCAGCAAATGTGTCCAGGAATTCAAAATATGACTGCTTTGTCTCGAACTGTCTCGATCCAATGTGAAGGTCAACGTAACATTTTGTTTTTTCACCTCCGTTATTGAAAACAAACTCTTCAAAACTTCCAAATGTCTTTCCTTTCTTCTTCAAAACTTTTGTAACTGCCTGACATTGTTTACTAAAATAAGTTGCAAGTGATTTTCCTCGCGGAGATGCACCGTAAAACGTGACCGATTTACGCACATCTGTTCCACTATCGTCATTGAGTTCCTTATTCGCAGATTTTCCATCATCCTCCGGAGTGACGATTACCCCTTCCCAACTATACAAGATCTTCTCTAGTTTTTCCTGAATTTCTGGATCCAAATTTTCAAAGTCGTAATAGTGTTCAGCGAGGATGTCTGCGGTATCTTCAGAGGGAGGTAACTCCATCAATAATGATAGGACTACTTTATACATGCTGCTTTCATCTGGTAAATAATGACAAAATGAAAGTAGATGTACTGCCCATTGAAGAGTCGTAAAACATTCTTGTAGCCATGCTTGTTGATCTTTGTCTTCTAAATCAGCCTGGAATAAAAATATGTAATAAAACTCAGGTGGAATTCTTTATTAGAACGGTGCAGCCATATTTTGATTTAATCTTAAAATGGTGAAGCGAGGCTAAGCTTCGAACAACCAGTGCGGTGATTGCAATTAATGCACACATCTTGTCAAACCTTCAAAAGCTAATATCTTCACTTGCAATGGAGCAATTAGAATGAAATTTTCAACATATTAATTCTACATTATCTATTTTCAGAACTATTATAGCAAGAATGGCCACCTCTTTATCTAAATCTTACATAATGTATCTTCAAATGACAGTAATCAAATATAAAACACAAAATAGATAAACAATACCACGCAATTAATAAACTATTATAAACTGCTGGTAAACAAACAATAAAGGAAAAGAAGGTTTGTTATACAATTAGCACATCCCTTGGACCTTGTTTACTTGTTGTAATATTTCACCATATTCAGGGCCAGATTTACCTACTTGTGGGCCTTACGTCAAACCCCTCGGTGAAATGTTTTACAGAGGCCTCATATTCCCCGCCCTATACTTATTATACAGGGGCCCTTATGGTTTTAAATATATTATATAATGAAATCCCCAGTGTACTCTTGAAACAAGGTTATACCCTGGTACGCTCTGTTTCAATTTAGTTACAAGGGGGCCCCCCAGATCTCTGTGGATCCTAGGCCTATCAATAAATCCTGTGATTATATTCCATATAAATCATGGTTGTGTAAGACTGTGCACCATTGATACAAAATATTTATTTACCTTGGACTGAGTTGAATGTATCCTGTTGAGAAATTTCTCTTTTTCTCGCAATTTTAGCGAGAGTTTATCTCTAGCATGTAACAACCACAATAACGAACAGAAATCTCTGAAACAAGTGAGAACGTGTTGCGTAGAATAATTTCTATTAAACTGTGACAGATGGGATGTTAGTGATTGATACTGTTGTAAAATGGACGGAACTTCTGCACATGGACCTTCTGTATTCGCCTGCAAATAGAAAAACACATTATAACACATATTTTGTTTGAATGGCATTTAGTAAATGGGATATAATCAAATAACATTCTATTTATGGATTAACAATTACTATGGTTTATTTCACTGTGATGTTTCAATTGTATTGAATTGAAAATGGTGTTGTCTTTGATCCTCTGTGCGAACCACGAACACTATAAACATGAGATTTGATTATTTCCTGCATATTTTTTATTCTGCTGTAAAAATAAGAGAGAGAGAGAGAGAGAGAGAGAGAGAGAGAGAGAGAGAGAGAGAGAGAGAGAGGTTTAAGGTCCACACTAGACACAAACTAGATCATTTTGGGACTAGCATATAGTTCAATTTTATTTCAATAATTCGCTTGTACTTAGGGGTCTTTAGCAGTAGGATGAAACTGGAAGACCTGAAGAAAACCCATGAGGTTGGACAGTCGACCCTATTCCTTGTCACGTACAAGCGGGGAATCGAAACCACGCCAGATGACTCAATGATCATAACATAAATGTATGGTGTTACATTCTGAGTCAAGACTTTTCTTATACAAGTCTTGTTTATTGTGATTTAGATTAACAACATATTTCTTTTAAAAGAATCTTTAGCAATTTTTAAATACATTTTTAATGTTTTACACGTAAAAAAGAAAAATCTAACTGTAAGTATTGTGTTTCATGGTATAATTCTTTGAAATTCCAACTAAAACATGATGCATTTTATTGTTAAATGTATCATAATCTAATTTATCTATTGCAAATAGAGTCATCGCTTTAATTCAATTAGTAATTCTGTTCCATATTATGTGTTTATTACGTATGTCAGCTGCTTAATGGCAGTCAAAGAAGAAAAGAAGAAGTATAGAATTACGTACGCGAAATTGTTTTGCTTTCTCCTGTATGCTGATTAGCTGTTTTGTATACCATGTGATACAAGGTAAAGAAAGATGGCTGCCACTCAATACGGAGAGAATTAACTGTATTAAAGATGAGATCTGTTCTCGTATTTTCTCTTCTTTCTCCAGACTAGGAGGAGACGTCTGCTGCTGTAAATAAATTAATATATATATATCAACTTTCTCCAGACTAGGAGGAGACGTCTGCTGCTGTAAATAAATTAATATATATATATCAACTTTCTCCAGACTAGGAGGAGACGTCTGCTGCTGTAAATAAATTAATATATATATATATATATCAACTTTCTCCAGACCAGAAGGAGATGTCTGATGCTGCTACAAATAAATTAATATATATATCAACTCAATAATACACAATATAACTAAATTGTAAGATAACATAACGTTACATAACGTAACATAACATAACATAATGTAAATGAAATGGGGTTTAACGTCCTACTGTTCTGCTCCTATACTGGGCTAATGAACATGAGCATATGTCGTACAGTGTGCTATAAAGGATATTCTGCCCAGACAGCACATATGCCATACAGTGTGCTATGAGGGAAATTTTACTCGGACTGCGTCACTACGACTTACTCTTATTTCTAATTCCAACTATGAATGGTTCTTTTACATGCATGTCAATGTTTACGCATGACCTTGATTTTTGTCCGATCCGAATGACCAGGCTCTCTGTCCTGCACAACTGACAAGGGTCAGCCACCCCAGACATTCCCGAGGACCAGTATAAGTAATGTAAATGTTACCTGTTTTATACGTGTAGGTTGTGGACAGTACAGCGGAGGTGAGGGAAGATAAAAATCAGACGGAACTAATGGATACAGATTCTTGACGACCTTCTTTAGTTTGTGTATCAGACCATCTAGTAACCATGGTACCACTTCAACTTTACACATAATACCAGCAGTTAATAATTCCTTTATCGTCTGTGTTAAATGGTCGATGTCAGTATCGTTCGTAATCACCACCGGATCTGAAAGAGGGAGTAATGTTGTATAACCTTCGCTCAAAACTAGCTAGATTATTTTGGGACTAACACGTCATGTTTTACCAGACCATAATCAACTCTTGATGCCATCGCTAGCCTGCAATATTTAGCTAATTGGAATACATTTTTTGAAAAATAATTTAAGGTAAAAATGGATAATCAAGACTTTGTTTTTTATCGTACCGGCTTTAGTAATGATGATCGAGGCTAGGCCTAAACTTCAATCGTTAATTTATCGGTTCAATATGACTGAAATTCTATTTAAGTTATCTATTTTTTAATTATTATAGTGAGAACTGTCAACTCTTTATCTAATCTCCCATAATGCTTCTTTAAGTTAAAAAAATGAAATACTGAGGACGTGTAAAATTACCTTGATCCAGGGAACCACCAAACAATATATTTAATCTGTCTTGTAAAATAGCAAAGGGCCTCAGATGATCCGGTAAAGTCAAAGGTTTTCTTGGTCTAAAATCAAATAAATATTTACAGTACGAATCATCTGTGTTTAAAACTTCACTCGGCACAAACTAGAGGAGATCAGGACTAAAAACATGGTTCAATTTTATTTCAATAATTCACATATGCATAGGGGTCTTTTAGTAGTGGGAGGAAACCTGAGGACCCGTAGAGACGACCAACCATGCCACTTGACGGGTCTTATGATCTAAAGAGAACATGATAGACCAATCGAAAACCACCACACCCCTTTGACCCAACAAAAAAACCCTGAAGAGAAATCAGATTAAAACACAGATCTTATTTCGTTTCGTTTTTTATAGTTCAAAATTTCGTTTTACTTGTCTTTACTACACTAGGATCTGGAAGAGTTGTTATATAACCCACGTTCTGAATGATGTGAGGGAACCCACTAGAAACATCAACGCTGATTAGTTAATCAAATGCCTGATGTCATAGGGTATGACCTCTAACGCGACCTCCCACTACAACTGGTCAGATCTTCATACCGTGGAGGACCTTGAAAGTATAGAAATAAACGAAAGGAAATATAAATCTGTATTTTAATGAGAATGTCTAAAGAGAGAATAAGAAAGTAATTTACTTTGTATATAATGTAGACGACGTTTGTTTATGTTGTTCACAGGCTACAGATAATAAATAACCTGCTTTCCAATCACCCATTTTAACGGCAAACCACGTCGCTTCACAAACCAAGCCACTTAATAACAGATATTCTAACGTTCTTTCTACCGTCCACACATCACCTAGCTTCTGATATCGTATAATCTGGGTTATCTCTTCCGGATATTGAGGAATAATGCGATTATCTGAGAGAAAAAAATGTAAAATTATACAAAAATACGTTTTAACATATGATCATATATATATTTGTGGATTAAAATTTCGATATTAATTTGGTGCACAAAAGTAGGAACTTAAACCCCATTCCTATATTAATTAATTCAATGAAATAAAACAGGGGTGGGGGGAGGGGAGAGAGAGAGAGAAATGGGGTTTAACGTCCACTTGACACAAACTAGGTCATTTCGGGACATTTTATTTCATTAATTCGCTTACGTGTAGAGGTCTTTAGCAGTGGGAGGAAACCGGAGGACGCGGATAAAGCCCATGAGGTTCGACAGGCGACTAGAAACCACCCCAGTTGACTCAATGACAAACATTACGATGCAACGCACACACGCTAACCATTCGGCCATCCAAACCCCCTCCTGGGGCTATAAAAAGGTGATCTGGTATTGTAAAATAAAATGAAATGAGGTTTGACATCCTACTATTTGGCACCGACTGGGCTAATAAAGATGGGCGTACACCATACAGCTGCTAGAATGGAAATTCTATCGGGATCAAACACCGGATCTCCTGGTTACTGAGCCCGTGTCTCACTCACTGAGTCACTGTGGCTCCCCTGGTTTCTCAACCAACATATCGGGATTGAACACCGGACATCCTGAGCCTGTTTCTTACTCACTGAGTCACTGTAGCTCCCCTGGTTTTATAAAATAATTTATTAAAATAAATAAACTTACTGACAAGAGGTGTATTAAAATGTATGGCTGGTAAAGGTTGTGGATTATGTGGAGGAAAGATATACATGGATTGGTTGGTAAAATATGCTGCCATAAATCTAGCCATAGTTTGAACAACTTGTCTTATTCCTTTATCACGTATACATGGTACAATATCATGTATACTAGAGCCCTGTAAAATATATATAACATAATATCATGTACAGCCCTGTAATATATAGGACATTATAATAGTAAGTGCAGGAGGACTGCACCACACAAAATTTACACAAAAACAAATACACAGACAGGACATCATATACTCAGGAAAACACAAACATACAGACAATTCAAAAAAAGTGAATGGATCCGGGGGCTAGCCGTAAGCGTCCACTGCGCTGTACAGACCAGGGTCTGTAGTAAGTTAGTGCCCTGTAAATATATAATACATTATAAGCTAGTGCTGGCAGAAAATATATAATACACTATAAACTAGTGCCCTGTTATATATAATACATTATGCAAGTGCCCTGTTATATATAACACACTAGTGCCCTGTTATATATAATACACTAGTGCCCTGTAAATATATAACACAATATCATTAACACTTGAGCCCTATAAAATATATAAACAATCCCTGCAACTCTGAGATTTTTTCGACAGATCAGGCCTGTACAGCATTATATGAATTGTGGCCAGAGAAATAGATGAACAGCAAAGGGGTGACGATAATATTTATGAAAACAATTTTTATTTAAGGGCGTTTCGGGTAGCATTTGTTCCAGGCCTCGAAATATTTAAAAAAAGCTACCTGTCGCAAGCGACAGGTAGCTTTTCTTCATACCTGTCGCTTCAGTAAATAACTTGTCACTCTCAATTATCAAACTCAAAGACTAATCACATCACACATATCCATACATGTAGGTACACACGCACGTGGTTAGGTCTTTGACGTACATATTGCTCTATATAAATATCGTAATATGAAACCTTTTTATTTCTTCGACATCGGATTGCCTAAAAGTTCTTGCAAGTCGGCGAATCTGCTTTGGCTCAGCGACTCGAAGATTCGTACAATTCTATCATCCGTATCCACGTGAATTCCGCAAAGTATCATGGTACCACACTTCTGTACTAAATCGAATACTTCACCGTTAAGTTGTAGAATTCAGATTTTAAAATATCCGTAATAAATTGAATATCAAAACACAAATGACACCTGTGCATGGCACCGTATTTACATCTACCGCGTGCGAAGGACAGATAACGCCACCTGGGATTCCCTTCTCACATATCCGGACAATATTTACGCTGCAAATTATATTTATATATGAAATATTTTTCCGACCTGATTTTTTGATTTTGTCAAATTGTCTTATAAATTATTCATAGCCTTTATTTATGGAAATTGTTTAAAATTTTTTAAATGATTAAATACACCAAGCAACGAGCCGCGTGAATTTCCATTCCAACCACTACTATATTTTTACTGTGGTGTTGTTACGGTAGAATTATTTCAGGTGACTTGGGGGGTGCGTTTTAATCTATTTAGATATAATACTCCATAATGCTATAAACTAGTGTCAAGCAGATGAAAACAAGCGTAGATGGTGTGAAATTCATTGATATAAAATTGTCTACTTCCAAACTGTGTGAGTAACTGTAGCCTACGACAGAGCGAAATGTAAACAGTGCAAATGGCAGCTTTTCGCGGTATTTCCGTGCTTAATTCTTGCATTTAGAAACAAATAATTAAATGTACGTGACATGGACGTGAGTATTTTGGTCAATTTACTGAACATCAAGTAAAATTTTGTCCACCTGTCGCAAGTGACAGGTAGTTTTATTTGCTACCTGTCAGACGAAAAAATCGCCCGTCGGCAACAAGTAGACAGGCGAACATTTCGAGCCATGATTTGTTCACTCATAACAAACTAGGTCATTTCAAGACTACCATATGGTTCAATTCAATAATTCGCTTGCACGTAGGGGTCTTTAGCAGTGGGAGGAAACCAGAAGACCCAGAGAAAACCCATGAGGTTGGACAGGCGACCCCCACTACTTGTTACGTAGAAGCAGGGATCACTTGATTCAATGACAGACCTTATGATCTAACGAACACACTTTACACCCTTTAACCCTTTGACCACTCACCCCCGCCTCAAACAAAGTCTACGGGCAACTGACCTGAGTTCTCAAACTAACAGACAAATTGAATGGGCAACTGACCTGAGTTCTCATTGTAGTAGTGACTATAGTCATTAACGCAGGTCTTACGTCACCCTTTAGAGTTTGACCCATGACCCCAGATTTGGTGTTTGCTTTAACAACCAGTTCATCTATAAAATCTACAGCTGTTAATAATTCACCACGTAATATAAATGTATAAAGTAGGGAATGTAGTAATTTAGCTGATTTACTGTAGCCTCTTTCACCTGAAAAAATAAATTCAAACAATATCGTAAATGTGGGTTGGTTAAAAGGAACATCAGTTTAAAAATGGTTTAATTCCCTTCATTATATACAAATATATGATGTATTTTTACAAATAGCCTGTTCAGACCTGTCTTTAAGAAGGCTTTTTATTCTAAACTAGTTTAACTTGGCCGTCTGAATGAGTCAGCTTACTTGCTTTAGACATGTGCAGTAACTAATATTCCTGGGAAATTGGTGGGATCATTCAGTGTCAGTGTTATGGAAGCGACAATGCCAATTAAAATGGAGGGGTGACCTGGGGAAATGAGGAGATACGTTTCTTTACTGCTGTGTGAGGAGAAGGACGACAACTAAAAGTACTCGTGGAAATGTATAATTCAAACAATTTTCGCTGAATTTTTGACCAGATGTTTACACATATGTCAGTTAACTCTAACCAATGACCGACGAGGTGAGAATAGTTAAACTGGTTTGGGTTATAGTACGTGTGAACCCAGTGACTTTAACCCAGTTTAAATATAAAATGTCTGAATCAGGTAAAAGATATATAGGCTATAGACAATACAAGCCAAAACCACCAGTATATATATTTTACCTTGTAATAATCTATATTGCTGTAACCAGACATCTAAAGCGTGAGTATACTGACCATCTAAACTATATGCATCACCTAGGTAACGAAAACAAAATAACAATTTGTTAGTTTCATGCAGTGGTGAGAAATACCTTAGGGTCTTTTTTTACTTATATTAACTTTCCAAGTATCTTCAATACCCCCAAATTTATACCAGAGTATGCACTTCTAAATATTGCGAAGTTTGGGAGGCCGAATGGTTAACCAGTGCGAGCTTGATCATAAGGTCTGTCATTGAGTTAAGTGGCGTGATTTCGACCCCCCGTATTTACGTGACAAAGAGTAGGGTCTCTACTTGGGGGGAGGGAGGGTTGGATGGCCGAATGGTATCTTAAGGTCTGTCAATGAGTCAACTGGCATGGTTGTGATTCTCCAGTTGTATGTGACAAGGAGTAGGGTCGCCTGTCTAACCTTGCAGGTTTTCTCCGGGTCCTCCGGTTTCCTCCCACCGCTATACACAAATGAATCATTGAAATAAAATTGAACAATATGTTAGTCCCGAAATGACCCAGTTTGTGTCGAGTGGCCGTTAAACCCCATTTCTTTCTCTCTCGAAATATTGCAAGATTAAATCCTACCCAGGTTACAGTGAAAGTTAATATGATTAATCATTTTATTGTACCAGGGTTAACGTTGTGAGATTGTCCTGGTATATCAGTGTCTAAAATATGATTAATTATTTTATTGTACCAGGGTTAACGTGAGATTGTCCTGGTATATCAGTGTCTACAATATGATTAATTATTTTATTATACCAGGGTTAACATTGTGAGTTTGTCCTGGTATATCAGTGTCTACTGTTTGTAATGTTTGATGTATCGCGTCAACCAATAGCTGTGATTGTTGTACGTCAGCCTCACTTATAGACTGATCACGTCTGAACTCTAACAACGCCTGATATAATACCTTCCACGTTCCAGTTAGCCTGTAATACACAAATAATTTATACTTTTAAATATAAAATATTAAACATACATTATGGAAGATGCCAGTTCTCACTATAATAGTTCAAAACTAGATAATATAAAGGGAATTTGCTGAAAATTTCAGTCAAATTGCTCCACTCTGAACTGAATTACAAGCGATTGAAATTTAGGCCTAGGCTCGATCATCATTACGATAAAAACACAGTCGCGTTTATCCATTTTCGGATTTAATGATGAATGAGCGCTAAGCAGCAGAACGGATTCAAATCCAATGAAAATCGGACACATAAAATGCCATCGAGAAATGATTAAGGCCTTTTTATGTTAATAAATGTCTAATTAATAGTTTATATAACATTTAAGGCCTAAAGAAAGACCTGCAATAGGCAGATTTAGCTCAGATCTCAGTTACACGGTTGGGGACCAAAATCCATAAAGTAAAGGTAATATTCCCCATGCAAGGAACTTGATAAAGGACAAACGCTTGAAAGGCATCTGGGATTAAAAGTACTCTACTTCTGATGTTTAATACAGTCTTGTCAAGTTTGTTGCTAGGGGAATATTACCTATACTGTTTCTTGCTAGGGGAATATTACCTATACTGTTTGTTGCTAGGGGAATATTACCTATACTGTTTGTTGCTAGGGGAATATTACCTATACTGTTTGTTGCTAGGGGAATATTACCTATACTGTTTGTTGCTAGGGGAATATTACCTATACTGTTTGTTGCTAGGGGAATATTACCTATACTGTTTGTTGCTAGGGGAATATTACCTATACTGTTTGTTGCTAGGGGAATAATACCTATACTGTTTTAAATAATAGTAACTATATGTACATTGTACAGGAAATGGAGTTTAACATTCTAATTTTCTGCTTATCAATAGGGCTTATGTTACGAGTTCTTGTACATTGTGTACAATGGAACTGCTGTTTTTCATCAAATCCTAACAATTATTCCTTGTCTGACCCCTCGTCAACCCAAGTCCCCTAATTATAAGGAAGAAGAAAGACATACCGTCTGGCCGACAGCTGATCAGAAGGAATAACAGCCATAGACTTCACGTCTGGTTCAGCACCAACATGTGGTTTATTACTCGTTTTAGAAACGGGGACACACTGATCTGGTCGTTCTAACATCGACCTCGGCGATAATCCTTTCTCCACTAAAGACCTTGGCAACCATATATAATTTCGATTCATCACCTTCTCCGTAAACTTCAGAAGCATGTAACATCCGGACAATGTTTTTAACCTTGGATCTGATTGGTTGATGGTTTTATTGTTCAGTACGAGTGTGATTGTTTTATGAGCCAACTGTAAGGTCGACGGAATCAGATGTTGTTCAAGACTATCAAACTGAAGAACATCCAGTAACTGTCTATACATGGTGATAACATTCACCAACGCACTATTTTGAGCAGAAGTATTTTGAGCTGCCAACATGTCCGTAACAGGAACGCTATTTATCATGAGAGTAAACATTTTATAAATATTTTTTACGGTGTCTTTCGTGATAGAATCGAGACGTGATGTCCAGTTTTCTGTACAAGTAGCAGCCAATTTCCAAACGGTAAAAAGATTGAGTTTGGCCCGTTGGAAGTGTTTAAATAAAGCTTGCTTTTCTCCCATGTTGGCAAACGATCCATCCATGGTTGCTAGGTGCTGCTCATTCTCTCCGAACATAATCTTACCAGACGTCATTTCCTGCATGCCTCCATATTGATATTCATCATCCAGCAGAACGCTCAATTCACTGGTTTGAGTTTCATTCAAACTTACATCTGCATCATCCAGGTTGGAGAGAAAATGTTTTAACCTGTCCGCCGTCGACGTTTTCGTTCCACTTTTTCCTACTTTCCTAGATCCGTTTTTGCGATCTGAGAGATTGTAGGCGTTGACGAGAGTCATGTCCAAATTTCCTTGCGTTTTCAGATACTCTAAATGCTTGGTGGATTCTAGTAATAAGTCTGTCATGAAAGTTGCTGACGTCAGTTCTCCTGGTAGCTGTATCAAAGTTACGTTATAACCATCCGAAAATAAAAGAATAGGAAGACTGGGATGAGATGTAACGGAGAATTTCTGGGCCATGGGATCATTCATCGACATCACTTCATTTGTAACATTGCGACCATCATCTGATCTGTAAGATAAAAGCATCATTAGAAATTACAAGTATGTGAAATGAAATGAAATTGGGTAAACGTCCTACTTTTGTGCACCAAGCGACTAATGAGAGAGAGAGAAATGGGGTTTAACATCTACTCGACAATTGCAAGCAATTAATGAAGACAGATATACACCATGCAGTGATCTATGAGGGAAATTTTGTCTGGACAGCTGTGCGACGGGTGACTCTTCGGCATTATTAGAAATTTGGGGGGGGGGGGGTAATCGGGAGTTGAATTCCTATGTGGTTTAACGTCCACTCGACACAAACTAGGACATTTCTGGACTAAAATATGGTTCAATTTTATTTCAATAATTCGCTTGCACATAGGGGTTTTTAGTAGTGGGAGGAAACCGGAGGACCCAGAGAAAACTCACGAGGTTGTGTACAACCAGGGAATCGAAACCACAACAGTTGACTCAATGACAGACCTTATACCCGTTGTGTAAACTTTCTCAATTTCTCGGCCAATACCAGGTTAGTGAGAATGCACGTTATAAGCTGTTATTCACAAGTTACTGTGGTTCACGTCATATAAAGGATATAATCAAAATAAACTTACTGTAATTGAATTAATGGATGTATTGGAAGAAAATAATTTGGTCCCATGTTTAAAAAACTATCAGATATTTGTAACGCCAGGGGTTCACCTAATCGTGATAATAACGCTACGGAACCATTGTTTAAAATACATGCCAGAAACAATCCATCTACAGTCCATGTCATATCTCGTACCCAATACTGTCTGAAATATATAAAATATACACAATATATAAACAAGGGATTCCCCCTGAAATATATAACATATACAGGGATTCCCCCTGATATATATATAAAATATACACAATATATATGAGGGATTCCCCCTGAAATATATAAAATATAAGGGGATTCCCCCTGAAATATATATAAAATATACACAATATATACAAGGGATTCCCCCTGAAATATATAAAATATAAGGGGTTTCCCCCTGAAATATATATATAAAATATACGGGGATTCCCCCTGAAATATATAAAATATACACCATATAAGTGAGGGATTCCCCCTGAAATACGCTCGTATATAAAATATACAATATTGTATATTTGAGTTTTGTTGATATTATAAGAACAGTTCCCTTGTAATTCAACTTATCATTAAAACAGACATTATCATAAGATAAAAAACCAGCGGTTGCCAGGCAAGATACACCCACATTTTGCAAAAGATGGATAGAGAACAAGCTATAAATAAAAATATGATTTTACATACAATCAGGGGCCATAATCCATGAGGTTGCGGACCGATACATGCCCAGATCTTGGGGAGATAAACCTATTTCAAGTTTCGTCAAAATCAGATAAAAATTGTGACCAGTAAACTGTCCACAAACAAATTATGGACGGATGGATGGACGGACATAGGTGACAACAATGTGGGCGTATAAAAATATAACGTTGTGAAAATAAAACAGATTATAATTAAGTTGTGAAAATAAAACAGATTATAATTAAGTGAACAGTGTAATTTGGTTATTAACATTTCACGCACAAAAATATAAAACTAACAAGTGCATGTTCAAATGATGGAATTAGAAAATAACAAAATTGTTTGCATGACACCACGCCCCTACCACACCCCTAGTACATCATTGAGCTAAAGGGAGGGAGGGGGGGCAAGGTGAATATCTTGTGGTATAAAATTGAACCAAACATTAATTATATAATACCTGGCATCTATCTTTTTCTTCCTAACATCAAAATAAAATTAATTAGAAAGTAAACTATAGAGTGCATATTAAAAATCCAGAAATATTTGTAGTTGAATAAAGGAGAATTATTGGAGATTAGATAAAGAGTTGATATTTCTCGCTATAATGGTTGAAAAATAGATAATGTAAATAGAATATGCTGAAAATTTCAGTCAAATTGCTTCACTCTGAACCAAAATATTAGCTTTTAAATTTTAGGCTAACTTCGATCATCTTTACTAAAGTCGGTACAATAAAAAACAAAGCCTTGATTATCCATTTTTACGTTTGATTACTTTTGAAAATATGGATTCCAATTCGCTAAATATTGCAGGCTAGCGATGGCATCGAGACTTTATTATGGTCTGGATATGTTAATTAATGTCAAATTAATAATTTAGATAACATGTCAGGCCAAAAGAAAGACCTGCAATAGGCAGATTTAGCTCTTGCATAATGTATGTTTAACTTAAGCCTGACAATGCCTAGTAAAATCGGGGCCTGGTCGTTCTTGCTATATTAGTTCAAATACAGCCTGGTCGTTGTTGCTATAATAGTTCAAATACAGCCTGGTCGTTCTTGCTATATTAGTTCAAATACAGCCTGGTCGTTGTTGCTATAATAGTTCAAATACAGATAATCTCCTATAATGTCCCTTTAAGAATTTACTCAAAATTGTTGGCCTTATTTTAACTAAAATACAACAATAAGACTTATTTTAACTAAAATACAACAACAAGACTTATTTTAACTAAAATACAACAACAAGACTTATTTTAACTAAAATACAACAACAAGACTTATTTTAACTAAAATACAACAATAAGACTTATTTTAACTAAAATACAACAATAAGACTTATTTTAACTAAAATACAACAATAAGACTTATTTTAACTAAAATACAACAATAAGACTTATTTTAACTAAAATACAACAACAAGAAACTATGTGCCAAGTTTTGTGTTTCTGTATCAAAAATATTTCTCTTAAACATTGATTGAAATTTGAGTAACTTCTTAACTTAAGTCTGAGAATGCTGTGATAACTTGGGACCAGGTCTTTATCTAAACCTTAAATAATGTATCTTTAAAAGCATCTTAAACAAACATCTCACCTTCCTTGTCGTTTCTCTGGTTCTTTCAGACCACATCCTCGTAGTTCCGACACTAAAACTGTGTCCGTCAGTGGAGAAACAAACAACATGGCTGAACTGATCGGAGATCTTTGATTGACAGCTACCGCTAGAATTTGACCATCGCGAGAATAACATGTGACATAAGCTCCTCTACTGCTGATTGGTTCACAGCCAGGGTTGATATTTTGGACTGGATATTGAAGACAACACCACTCGACACGGACAGCTGGAGAACTATAATATTGTTGGAAAATAATAGATTAGAATTTGAAGAAACTATTTATATTTATTAAAAGCTATATCCACAAGGGACTAACATATGGTTTAATTTATTTCAATAATTCGCTTGCGCATAGGGGTCTTTAGCAGTGGGAGGAAACCGGAGGACCCGGAGAAAACCCATGAGGTTGGACAGGAGAAGCCTGGAAGTCCAATCTCAATCCCAGTGATAACTTGACCCTTCGTTTATCTCTGGTAAAAATCGCAACCCATTAATCAGTGCGATATCGGTTCTTAAGCTCCGCCCCCAGTGGCTCCTGATTAGCCGATTTCTTGACAATTAGGCATCAATTCATTGCACGAGTTACAAACATGTATTAATGATCCTTTTGACGTCAAAAGTTCATTCGAAAACAGTCAATTTGATGATTTGCTGTGAACTATTTTTAGCACACAATGTGAGTGATTCAGCTAAATACGTAAAATTTCAGAGGAAATGCGAGTTTGAGCAGCCATCTTGGATCTTTGTGAAGCAACCAATGGAAGGATACATAACATGACATTCAAAATGGCCGACAAGTTTTACCGAGATAAACAAAGGAATCGAGATTGCTAGAAGTCCTGGAGTTTAAATCCACTCAACAAAAACGAGGTCATTTCTGGACTAACATCTGGTTCAATTTTATTTTAATAATTTGCTTGCGAGTAGGGTTCTTTAGCAGTGGAAGGAAACCGGAGGACCCGGAGAAAACCCACAAGGTTTGACAGGCAACCCTACTCCTTGTCAGTACAACCGGGCAATCGAAACCACGACAGTTGACTCTATGACAGACCTTATGATACAACGTCCACACACTAACCATTCGGCCATCCAACCCCTTCAGCAATTTCAGGCATTCAAAGTTTGTTAAAGTGAATCAATGAAAGAGTGTGAAATTTCCATAGTTGGTGACTCACTTTTCCGTGATGATTTCATTACGTGATGGAAAACGTAACAACAGTGTACTAATGCATACAGACGTTCCATGATTAAACGCCACAGACCACTGACAACAACACCCACATATCTACAACAAACAAAATAAAACAAATTATAAATCGTAATAAATTGTAATAAATCTCTTCTATATTTATAATTTCATTCTGAGTGAAAGTATCGGTGTTAGATGTTGTAGCATAAATTATAAATCATAATAAACCTGTTCTATATTCATAATTTCATTCATATTATTCTATTCTGAGTGAAAGTATCGGTGTTAGATGTTGTAGCATAAATTATTTATTATCGTAGCAACGATACTTGACAATCAAGACTAAGCTAATTTATTAAATAGCGATCACATTTCAATCCGTTTAAATCTCGGCCATCCAATGTTTAGAGAGTTGATTATAAATGAAATGAAATGGGGTTTAATGTCCTACTGTTCTGCTCCTATACTGGGCTAATGAAGACGGGCATACGCCATACAGTGTGCTATGAGGGAAATTTTGCCCGGGCAAATTCCAACTGCCAGGGGATCTTTTACATGCTTTGCAATATATACACAGGACCTCGGTTTTTCATATCATCCGAAGGACTAGACAGCTGTCCTTGTCAGGCCTTCCGTTCTGCACGAGTTGATTATAGGCTTGTCATGTGAATAGTTTATATAACATTTAAAGCCTTAAAAAGACCTTAAAATAACACATCTTTTAAAAAAACATTAATATTAACACTAGATATTCTCCCAGCCTGATTTTATCTGCCCGTCTGCAGACAATCCAATAAAAGACAAAGTGACTGTGGATACATTAGTCACACAAAGCACAAGGGAGACAATCCAGTTCCTGAGTTCACAAGGCATTCTCAGACTTAAATTAAGAATATACTCAAAATTGTTTGTCTTATTTTAACTAAAATATAGCCCTTTATAAAACTTTTGTTGTTTTAATGTATCAAATACATGAATAAGAAACTATGTGCAAAGTTTAGTGTTTCTGGATCAAAGATATTTCTTATGAACAGTGATTGAAAGTTGGGTAAATTCTAAACTTAAGTCTGAGAATGCTTTGTGAACTTGGGGCTAGAAAAGACAAATCTATTGTGGGTACATGAATTCAGATTTTACATTATTTTCAAGCCAACATCTGTAATTGTCTCTGTTAAAAAAAATCATAAAAAAATCGTGAAATAATTTTCTTACAAGGCAGGCAACATATCTGACACAATTATATATGGAATACAAGTTACTTTAGAAGTTTATTTCTGGCGACGATTCTACCCGGTTCTCTCGTCTTTATCAAGCGATGGAAGCCACGGTGGCTAAGTGGGTAAGACGCTAGCTAGCTAGCCTGGAGGTCGGGTGTTCGGGAGCCACGCTGGCTCGCTAGTCTGGAGGTCGCGTGTTCGGGAGCCACGCTGGCTCGCTAGTCTGGAGGTCGCGAGTTCGGGAGCCACGCTGGCTCGCTAGTCTGGAGGTCGCGTTTTCGGGAGCCACGCTGGCTCGCTAGTCTGGAGGTCGGGAGCCACGCTGGCTCGCTAGCCTGGAGGTCGGGTGCCACGCTGGCTCGCTAGTCTGGAGGTCGAGTGTTCGGGAGCCACGCTGGTTTGCTAGCCTGGAGGTCGCGTGTTCGGGAGCCACGCTGGCTTGCTAGTCTGGAGGTCGAGTGTTCGGGAGCCACGCTGGTTTGCTAGCCTGGAGGTCGCGTGTTTCGTTCCCTGCATTGGCTGAGAAAGTTCATCAGGATTTTCCAACGTGGTTTCCCCTTGTCAGTGATGCAGAACAGAGGGCCTGACAAGGAGAGCTGTCTGGTCATTCGGATGTGACGAAAAACCGAGTCCCGTGTATACACATACACTGGCGTGCACGTAAAAGATCCCTTGGCAGTTGGAATTCGATATAAGAGTAGGTCATAGTGCCGCTGCCTGGGACAAATTTCCCTCATAGCACACTGTATGGCGTATGACCGTCTTCATTAGCCCAGTCGTAGCAGAATAGTAGGACGTTAAACTCCATTTCATTTCATTATATTTATTATGTGTAGAGTTTATTTTGGAGGACGTTGAAGCCCGTTTCATTTCATTTCATTTACCAAGCAACATATATACCTGACTATTATAGAAGGTACCAGCTGCAGACGTCTCGAGGCAGTCAGAAGAAGGTAATTGTATATTAGCAGGTGCTTGGATACTGTTCCACTGCCCATTTACAACCTGTGTATCCACATCAAATACATTTGTGGTGTGACTGGCTCTCCATACAAAATATTTATCATAACCTACAACTAGCAGGATCTTACTACAGTCATCAGATGAATATAACATACATTTCTCTGAAATAGTTTATATCAATGTTTGTTACCATGGAAACCATTTACTCTATTTAGTTGGAACTATGTTTTAACAATAATACTGATACAGTTGGAAAGAAAGAAATATATAGATGTATCTATGTAAATCATAACAAAAATAAAAATTTCAGTCAAATTACTTTTTTCTGAATGGAAATGTTACTGTTGGAAGTTTGGACTAGAAATAGGCATCAATTGTGTCTGCACTGTCTATGAGAATTGGCGATCGTTTGATTGACAGACGATAACTCCAACCACATATTCTCGATTATCAAGTAACATGCTCAATGGCTATGGTAGCCTCGCTTGGCAGGCCTTTCATCACCAGTTTCCAGTAGTGACATCAGCGACTAACGGTAAACATTAGCTTGGTCCGCCATTTATTGATTTAATTTTAAATGGACGACTGTTTAAATCCAAACTGTATCCAAGCCATCCAAGGGTCTGCAGAGTAGATTTTGAGCTTGTCGTGTAAATAAAGGTCTAATTAATAACATCTATAAAATCTGAAGCCTAAATAAAGACTTGCAATAGGCAGATTTAGCTTTTGCAGTGTTAATGTTCGGCCAATTTTTTATGGGCAAACTGATATATATTTTTATGACATACCTGTTAATAATGAAGTCAAGTTGATATTATCTGATAAACCTGTGATTGTCTTTATTAGATCTTTATCTTTATTCCACAGAAATATATCGCCCGATTTTAACACTCCAGCCAGATAATAACCTAGAATATAGAAATATATCGCCCGATTTTAACACTCCAGCCAGATAATAACCTAGAATATAGAAATATATCGCCCGATTTTAACACTCCAGCCAGATAATAACCTAGAATATAGAAATATATCGCTCGATTTTAAAACTCCAACCAGATAATAACCTTGAATATAGAAATATACCGCCCGATTTTAACACTCCAACCAGATAATAACCTAGAATACAGAAATATATCGCCCGATTTTAACACTCCAGCCAGATAATAACCTAGAATATAGAAATATATCGCCCGATTTTAACACTCCAGCCAGATAATAACCTAGAATATAGAAATATATCGCCCGATTTTAACACTCCAGCCAGATAATAACCTAGAATATAGAAATATATCGCCCGATTTTAACACTCCAGCCAGATAATAACCTAGAATATAGAAATATATCGCCCGATTTTAACACTCCAGCCAGATAATAACCTAGAATATAGAAATATATCGCTCGATTTTAACACTCCAACCAGATAATAACCTAGAATATAGAAATATATCGCCCGATTTTAACACTCCAACCAGATAACCTAAAATATAGAAATATATCACCCGATTTTAACACTCCAACCAGATAATAACCTAGAATATAGAAAGCTGGATGTACATGTACAGACTGATGATATAATACTGAAATGTGGAGGTATAAAAATCGCAAATACTCTAATCTTTACAACACGTACAAAGGTTTCAGTGTTAGGAACAGTAACTATGAGAAGATCTGATGAGTGACTTTGAAAAAAAAATTCACACGGGTATCAACGCCGTGAAAAATCATTTCTCCTACATGTAAGTATGCCCCGAACAATCCCGTTTTGGTGACAAGGCGATATGAGCTCTACAAAAAATTTGTCTGTGAGTGTCACTCTTAATTTCAGAACGGTTTCGACCTGGTGTATAATCCACGCAAGTTTGAAAAAAGAATCTTGAAAACTCGGACCTGTCGAGTGTTTAAAATACAGATCAGTATAATAACAACATACTCTCACATGAAAATCGGGTTTATAAGAATATCTGAAGATATATTTCAAGTTTCTTCTCTACTTACCATTTGGTGATCTGCATAATGTAAGAGATTCTTCACATAAGGGAGACAACTTTGGTATTTTCCTTTTTGTCTTTCCTGATGGTATGTATAAAACACTGACACGATTTTCATCCAATAACAGAAGAATTTCTTTTTCCTTTAAAAAACAAAAATACTGGAATACAATGGTCTGCAAATAGGTTACAATACATAAAGGGTTCCCAATTCACGTCACCCAAAAAATCAACACTTGATAGTTAATTGTGCATTCTTACTGTTGACAATCACCCAAATCAAGGGTGCTACTGGTATGTTCTGTATGGTTTCTGTTTTGTTGTTATTGCTGATCTATATATATTTGCCTTACACGTTTGTTACTGGGATGGCCTAGTGATCTATATATATTTGCCTTACACGTTTGTTACTGGGATGGCCTAGTGATCTAGAGTGATCTAGAGTGGAAGAGGACGTTAAACACTAAGAACATTTGTTACTGCACTTGCTTGTACTCAAAACATTGCCACACTAAACTAGTAATTGTTTTGTAATTAATTAAATGTTTACTGTTCTTCACCTTTCCAACCCATTGAATGAGAGGCCATGGTTTTCTTCTCTTGATACTAGTACAGGCTAAAACTTCTAAATCAATCTTCATCTTTGACGACAATTCTACAACTAGTTCTGACATACAGCTCACAACTCTAGCTGTAGATACAGAACTATTCTAAACAATCCTGTAAAAACATTAATATAACTATTTATTTAAAGATGTATTTCTTTGTTGAACCAGCTGGGTGGGTGAACTTTAGATCATAATGCCTGTTGACAGTGAATCAAGTGGCGCAGTTTCGATTCCCAGCTTGGACATGATAATCCATAGGTACACCTGTCCATCTTTGTTGTCCTCCGGTTTACTCTCATTGCTAAAGGCCCTAGAATTATTGAAGCAAGAGTAAAATATGGGTGACCTTCTAGTTCCAGGAATATCATATAGAGCGAAGCTTTAAAGCATCATGCGAAGCGTAAGCAAAGCTATTTTCCGGTAACAAAGGAGTGTAATTGAAACTGTCATAGATAGACTGTTGATTAAGAAAATTCAGGCTGGAACCGGATATATATACTAGCCAATACAGGCAATGCGCATGTCAACTTACCAAATCTCGACCAAACGAGATCACGTAACTAACAAAAATGATTCACATCAAATCTCGCCTCTTAGAACTATTTCTATGACGCGTATAATCACTGACGTCACATATTTTTTACGTCAATGAAAATAATTCTTACACTTTTTTGTTCTTTTTTTAAAAACAAAATTAATGTTAAAATTTAAATCTAAATATAAATCAATTTTGAAAAACTAAATTATTTAACATTTTTTGTATCACTTGAGAAAATTAATTATGAAGGTTTTATATTTGACAATAATCAGCTTCGCTCTACTCAGGCAATGACTGTTACATATTATATTTGACGTCAATGAAAATAATTCTCACACATTTATGTATGTCCTTTTTTTTTTAAAAATTAATCAGTAATTTATCCAATATTCATATAATTTTGATCTAAATTAAAATCAATTTTTGGCATCACTTGAGAAACTGAATTATGAAGGTTTTATATACAACAATCACTCCGGTTCGCTCTACTCAAGCAATGCCAAATACTAAATAGGCCTAATCACTAATCCTAATCATCATCCTCATGCCTGTTAAAAGATCTATCTTTAAAACAAAAAGTAAAAGTATATACTTGCATCACGACGCAAATGTGCATTTAGTATTTTTTGTATGATTCCATTATTCAACTGACTGGCAACATTGTTATATTCCTAATTGATTGTACAGTCATAAAAATAACATGTTCCTGTCAATTCTTGTTGCAATAAGCCGCCATTTATAAACAAATACTTGTTCGATTGGTATTAAATCTTGGATTCAGATCCTCTTTTCTGGTTATCCAGACGCAAATATCTTTTATGGCGTATAACAGATTGCGACTGGGCAGTAAAATAAAATAGATTCAGAATAACGGAAACGAACAGTCCTACGCCGATAAGGGAAATAACTCTCACTATCAGAACCTCGCGCATGCGTACACGTTAATATTTCCTCCATATTAGCTTCGCTCAATGTCAATTCCTTGTCATTGACCAGGAAATATTATAAGGTAAACTAAAATGATATTACTGCAAAACTTATTGATTTATATGACGGATGGTCATGACATCAAATAAATGCTGGGTAATGCTCAATTTCTGTCATGGAGGTAGCTTTTTTAGATAGATATACACCGGTAGAATTAAAAACCGCTAGAAAATATTCAATTCTTCTAAGTTCTAATACTTCTATAGCCAGAGGACAAAAGTAGCATGGCCTACGTGATCAACCTCACTACTGGTGAACTTTGCTAAACTGCTTTCATCAGGTTTGAACAAACTACTTAATTATGGTTAATTTGAAACCAACATATATGTTTCAAATCCGGTAAAATTTCTAAATATTTCTAATTTCCAATCCAAGAAACAAAATAATTATAATTCTCCAAAAAATCAAATGGCTGTTTTGGTCAGTATTTTACTGATTTCTTATTTTAAGAAATTATACATGTATCTGAAGAGTTAAACAAAAAAAATGTTCGAACGAATCCAATGCACGATGTTGTGTTGGGTTTTAAAAGGTCGATAAGAGGTTGACAACCATGTTTGGTAAAAATAAAATTTTAACTGTCAAGATTTGAAACAATAATTTCAATTCATCATCAGTCAAATTTGATACACAATGTAGGGATGACAACAAAAAATTCAACTATCCCGTATGGGTTTAATTCTGTTATTTCTGGATAGGGCTGTCCAACAGCTTTACAATGACACCAAAATGAGCTCGAAAGGCTCTATCCTATATTAATAGAGTTATGCCTAATTAATTGTTGCTAATTCATGGCCCTTTTGTCTGAAGAACAAAAAATGAAAAGTGAAGTCATCGTGTGCAGTCGCTAGCGGTAAAATTCCACTAACTTTCTTTCATGGCAGTCACTTCGAAACTGGATCAAAAATTTTCCGCACTTCATATTTTGGCTCCACACCTACGATTTCATAGAAAACTCGCAGAATAAATATGAATATATATATTTTCAAATTAATATATTATTAACCCTGTGGTATTCTGGTATCCGTCCCAAAAATTGTGTTGTTGTCTAATTTCATTTTGATGTTGAGGTTTCTCCGCACTCGGAGCAGCTAGAGTAAAAATTCGAAATGAGGCAAAAGGCTAGTCTTTTATTTACGAAAATAACCACATTTGAAGCAGCAGTTCCGTACCAATGGACAATGCGACGAGAAAGAAAGGCCAATAAGCAAATCGCACTGGCGTATCTGTGGCGTGACTCGTAGCGACGAAATTATACCACCGGTTCACGGCTTCATTGGTGTAGATACTAGTAGAAATAAAGTTTTATTATGAACAAAAACTTTCAGATCTTACAACTATATTACAATAAAACTAAATGTCGCAGCAAAATTATTGAGTTATGCCAATTTCAAAGTTTCACTTGTCTGTTAGTGTCATGGACATAACCTGGTTCCATACATAAAGGCCAAAAAATTTGGTCAAAAATGGCCAAACATTTGGGTCATAACGACCAAACAATTGGTCAAAACAGCCAATCAAAGTTCAAACTGGTTAAATTATGGTAATATTTGTTATTCACTACCAAATCAGTTATATTAATATATAAACTTAAAATAGCAATGTCTACAAATAGCTTAGGTGAAGTGAAAAAAGACATCCTTTAACTCTAATATAGAGAATCTCTCTCTCTACAATTTTCAATACCTTAAACAAAAAGTGGGGTTGGATGGCTGAATGGTTATAGCACGTGCACGCTGTATAATAAGGTCATTGAGTCAACTGGTGTGGTTTTGATTCCCAGGTTGTACTTGGCAAGGAGTAGGGTCGTAGACTGTCCAACTTTGTGTGTTTTCTCTGGGTCCTCCTGTTTGTTCCCACTGCTAAAAGACCTATGCACAAGGGAATTATTGAACTAAAATGGAACTATGTGTTAGTCCCCAAATGATCAGGTTTGTGTGAGTGGCCGTTAAACTTCATTTCTCTCTCTCTTAAGTTAATGATACTGGCTAGCTAGTATAAGTAGTTTGAATTTGATATCAACATGTAAGAAGTCTTCAGATACATGTAGCTGATCATCGAAATGAAACTTAAAATAAAATCTACATAATCAAAAATATCCAATAAAGGTTCAGCTCATAATCAGAAATAACTTAGAGGGACAATAACACTCTTGCTGGCTTGACAGCTCCAGAAAATAAAAAATAGCCTTATTCTAAGTACTAGATGTGTACATGTAAGTGTCCTACCTGTTGTGTAAATTATCCATTATCCATTTACTTGTCCAGAGGGTTCAAAAATATTTTTAAATCCAAGTCACATTTGAAAAGCTTTACGTCAGGCTTTTCAAATCATTTAGTTGAATTTTTCCAATTTAAATTAAATGTGTTAAGATGAAATTTGTATCATCAATTAATTGGAATATTGTAAAATAGTGCAATTTGTTGACCAGAATAAAGATTGAGACATATTATTCAATTACAACAAGAGTGGTATTGAGCCTTTAAAAGAGTGTGAAGTACTTAATTAGAGATTAATCAATCAGTTGATTTATTAGAGATTATCCAATCAGTTAAGTCAGAATAGCCTTTTAATTTACTGTGTTGATTAGTTGAAACAATTTTATTATTTTTATCAAATTAATTAAATAGTCAGTAGATCTAGGTATTTTTATTAAAGAAAAATTAATGTTTTGTAAAATACATTGTTTTTTGTAATATAATAATGGCTAATAATGGTTAATGTTTGCTGCTATGATTTAAAGCCATTATATGACCACATCCCATTTGTTCAGGGCAAACATACTCATTTTATTAATGTTTCTAAGTGTGTCTGTAAGAGTGCCAATTTTATTTTTTTGGGGGGTATATGACGTGAATAAACCAGCTACATGTAAACAAAATAACACACTTCGTTTTTAGAAATTTGATATAAAGGGCCAATATTCCTATCAGTAGTTTGTCCATATGAGCCAAAGATACTTCAATTTACCAGTACTGTATCAGAGTAATACATATACTGATGATTCATGGTGTTGTGAACATTTTATATCACATTGGGTAGACCATGTCATTCCCATTTCATTTCCAAATAAACAATATCATAAATTTATTTCTATCTTTAAACCTTTTTGTTTTTCAGGACAAATATCCTCAAAAATGAGTAACCAACTTCTTCTACGAACATTTTTGAGGAGCACGTCATTGGCCGGACGTGGTGTGTCAACCACCGCCACAAAGAACCAAGAAGTCGTCTTAGACCAAGCAACTAGAGATAGGGCCTATCCACAATTAGGTAATCGAGATATTGTTGGGTATGGCTTCAATGGAGATCCCACTTACGCCGATCGATTGGAATATCCTTGTCCTGCTGTTCGATTCAAGGAAAATTCCTCTGAAGTTATGGCGCTGAGACAAAAAGAAAAGGGAGACTGGAAAAACTTATCTTTAGCAGAAAAGAAGGCTTTATACAGAGCGAGCTTTTGCCAGACATTCGCGGAAGTGCAAGCCCCAACTGGAGAGTGGAAATCGGTCCTGGCTGGTGTATTGATGTTATTTGGAGTTGCTGGGTGGGTCGTTATCTGGATGAAGAAATTTGTTTATCCACCATTACCCATAAGCATAAACAAAGAATGGCAAGAAGCCCAAGTACGTAGGAGCGTTTTACAAGGTCAAGGCCGAATTGAAGGTATTGCGGCCGAGTTTGACTTTGAAAAGAATCAATGGAAATAAACTGTTATGACTGTAATAAGTTCAATTCCTAGACGTGGCTGTATTTATTAGTAAATATTCATAAAACATAATTTGTGTAATAATAAAAATTGGGAAATTGACATCCATCGTAAAATGAAAAGAGACCTGTGCCAAATTTCGGTCTAAAAACTTTTATTGTACAGCCATTTGTTACTGAAAAATAAATATGGAAATCTGTTTATGTATAGTTGATAGAAAATGTGTCCTGCTTTCTGATGGGAGTAAATAGGCTTTATCTCTTTGTCGTCTCATTACATAGGTCATTTTGAGAGTACATGTCAATCAGTATGGTTGAAACCATGGTGGCTCAATGTGTAGGGTGCTGGCTCACTCAGCAATCAGGTCCCAGTTTCAATCCCTGTGATATTCTCAAAAGTTCATCTGGATTCCCCAGCATTGTTTTCCCTTCCGTGAGGCTGGCAAGGAATAGTGTCTAGTCATTTGGAAGGGATAAAAAACAAGGGTCCTGTGTAGGCCAAAATATTTGCCGTGCACGTAAAAGACAGTAGGATTAGGCAAAGACATGCTGCTGTTCGGGCAAAATGTCCCTTGGCACACTGTATGGCATTTGCCCATCTTCATTATCCGATTGTTTGCATATTCAGGGATCTTTTCGGTGCACTACAACCAACAACCAATTTGAATAAAAACCTATATAGGTTGTTTCTGTCATATAAAGGAAAAGGTAGACTTTAACATTGAAGATTAAAAACAGGTTCACATACTTCATTACCGTAATAGTTTGCTGCTATACAAAATAGGAGCCACAGGGGCCCGGTGAGTAAGACAGTGTTTAGCTAACTTGGAGGTCCTGCATTTATTCCCGGTGTCGTGCGAAAGACCGAGGTACACATTGCAATGCACGTAAAAGAACCCTTGAATTCGAAATACTAATAGGACGTACATGTAGTGCAGTTGTCTGGCCAAAATTTCCCTCATAGCACACTGTTTGGTATATGTCAGTCTTCATTAGCCCAGTCGGAGTAGACGAGTAGGATGTTAAACCCCATTTTATACTGTATCTGTTTTGTCAAGGATCAAGAGACGGTAACTGCCACCATAACCCTTACCCACGGACAAATCCCCGAGATTTTAATACTATATACTGGCAAGAGTCACTTCTCTTAAATAAATCCACCCGAGGCTATCCGGGAACAAACCTATCATTTTGTTCAGGAAGGAGTCTTGCAACAATCCATACAGACGTCAATTGTCGACTGCCCATATTGCAGTCCCACCCATCTGGAATAGAAGGCTTGATGTTGCTTTAACTCCGTAAATCTTATCAATCCCTTCACACAATACCCTGCATATTTCGTCACTGTTTTCGATTCGGTATTCACCCAGCTTGTGGGCCTATCTGGTTCCTCGATCATCGCGAATACCAAGTCTCGCGCTTACAGCTAAAATGTCTACCTGTGATAATTGAATTACCTAGTTCATTGTTCGTTCAATGTCAAGGTTTCCGTGGAGGTGACCATGATTGATTTGAGTGCGTTTGTTTCACAACCTCTAATTGGACGCTATTGTTCACTTGTCTACTTTAAAGGGAGATAACGTAGTCATTAGTTCGGGAATTGCAGACAAGACTAGTAACGTCTAGATGTTGTAAAACTTGCTGTTGTTGCTTCAGAAACATGAGCCCCACCAAGCCACATTAGTTAATCAAACTAAAGCCGGTATTACACTTTCCATGGTATCAATTTCCCCATTGATCTCGGATTGATATTGGTGCTTTCCGCTCCCCACCCCATCCACTTTCCATATCAACACGTTCAAATTGGTATCGACCTCCCCACTGATCTGGAAAGATGTTGCAGTTCCGTGTCTGTGGCATAGTTCGTCCCAAATGAAGAGAAAACTAGGAGTAGATAGATAAAAGGGGATAGGGGTGGGGGGCGCAATGTGTTTGGATTTCTAGTGAATATTCCGAGAGAAACCCCACGGTAAATGGCAACTAAAAGTGCAATTGGTTACATTTGATTAATGATTGAGTGGATGAATCCCTGAACAATCCAGTCGGTGCCGAAAAGTAGGACGTTAAACCCCATTTTATTTCATAACGTTTAACTAAATGTACCTGAACCAGAGCTGGATTAACCATTAAGCACAATAAGCACGTGCTTAGGGGGTATCATGGGGGAGGGGGGCCACAGCCACCTGCTTTGTTAGGTGACAAATTTAAAATATGTAATTAGGAACTTTTAATGAGCTTTTCATTGTTTTTCTTACTGTTGCCGACTATAAAACCTCTTACAGCTTATATCACTAAAAAAAACTCTTTTTGAAAAATACCAATTTATATTATGATTTATTATTGTTTCTATTTTGGAATTACATATTGGTCTGTATGGAGGAAAGTCTGACATATTGGTCTGTATGGAGGAAAGTCTGACATATTGGTCTGTATGGAGGCACCAAAGTCTGTTAAGTGGTCTTAATCCGATTCTGACCAGAACAACAGTATGTAGTAATTGTTCAAATGTGTGTAAAATAAAGCTCCCAGGGTCCAAGAATCGATAAATGAAGATATTTTCTAATAGAGGAAGGGAGCCGCGGTGGCCCAGCGTGTAAGGCTCTGACAGTAACCTAGAAATGGTTTCACTACTGATGTCTTCCGTCTTTCTCCAGCCACAGTAGTCAGAGGCCGCGGAGCGATTTCCGAAGTGGGGGGGCTCTAACTATAATAACTGAGGGACGAAGTCTCGAAAACGAAGCGTCGTGTAGCCACGAGAGAGCGCATTGCTGGAGGCGCCGCAGGCGCCGGAAGCTTCAGTTGTGGGGTTTGGGGCCCGCTTAAGGGCCCCAAGAAAATTTCGAAACTTTGATGTGTTTTTTTTTGCATTTTTAAGTAACCCAAAACCCTCCTGCTATCACGAAAGAAAAGCTGACCATGACTCACCACTCATGTTATCCATGACGAGAACAATGCCAGTTATAATTATTATAAATGTAGAATGGGACGAAATAACGAAGTGGACCGTCCCAAGGCATTCCTTTGAGGAAGTTTTGTAGTCAATTGACAGAAAAAGGTTACTGGCCTATAACTCCCTTAATGACCCAATAACACTGACCCCAAATTGTACTGTACATAGCTTAACATATAAAAAGCCAATTCCCATTGAAATAAAGGTGAAACTTTACCGTATGAATTATATGATTTGATTAAACCCAACTGCTATGCGAAATTTCTGTTCAGTTTAGAATGGCCGCCGAACCAGAATCACGGGGTGTCATGTCACTCGGAAAAACTGTTCGGTACGATAAGATTATGATTTCAGTGTTCCACTCTTCACTATTTGTAATAATTACTTATTTCCATGCAGACTGTGAAGATATCTGTTGAAAATTTTGCAATTGAACCCAATTTTACTTTCTCAAAGCCTCGAATAGTGTATCAGCTGCAGCCGTAGTCACTTGGGTGGGATGAAAAACCCAGGTGTCGTACACGTAAAAGAACTTGTGACTGCTGGAATTCAAAATAATCTTAGGCCAAATACCACCCTGTATAGCGCGCGTACGTCGTTATAATCCCAGTCATGGTAGAAAAGTAGGACGTTAAACCCAGTTTCAATTCAAAGATGGAAAAAGTATTAATATAATTATATTTTAACTGGTCGACAGATTAAATACTGCGTTCATTCTGGGTCTTTTTCCTTCAGAGATTTGGTAAGCAATTTACGTTTGATGATCAATAGTAGTATGAACTAAACTTTGGAGAATTTTGGTTGACCTATATAAAATGAACTATTGACCTTTTCGCCTATATACTAAAAAACATTATTGTTTACTTTCTTGCAACGTCTGTGTAGTTTGTCTTGTCCGAAGGTTTGTCTTCTCGTTTTTTTTTCGTTTTTTTTTTGCGTATAGTACTGTCCTCCTGCACTTACTAACAGAGACGATTGGATGTGGGAATCACGTGGGGTGTGTTGTGACGTTGGTGGAAGATGATTTACGACAGACGTGTTTCGAAGTATGTTGATTGGCATGTTTCATTACTAACATTTGTTTCATGGTAAATGGGGACGCACATATGGTGGCTGATTGGTATCATGTCGTGATGTTGTGGTGTCGCCCTTCATAAGGCGACAACCGGACAACCCGACATCAAAACATTTTAACCCGACAACCCGACATTTTAACCCGAAAATACGACTTTCCAGGCGACATTACGACATTAAAAAATGTAGTAATGTCGCGTAAAAATGTCGTGATGTCGGGCTGTCGGATTATCGGCCATAATCCTCTCAATACTATGATTATGTACACCGATCCTGGTATTGGCCAAGAAAGTTCCCCGGGATTTTGCAGCGTGGTTTCTCCCTGTCGGCAGTGCAGAACAAAGAGTCTGGCAAAGAACAGTGTCTAGTATTGTAGATGGGACAAAAAAAAAAAGAACAAGCTCCTGTGTAAACATTGGCGTGCACATAAAAGAATTCTTCACAGTTGAAATTCGACTGGGGCAGAGAAGTAGGAAAATGAAATGAAATAGGGTTTAACGTCCTACTGTTTTGCCCCAGGAGCCACGGTAGCTAAGTGAGTAAGACGCTGGCTCGCTAGCCTGGAGGTCGCGGGTTCGCTCCCGATGTTGACCGAGAAAGTTCATTGAGATTTTCAGGCATGGCTACCCCTCGTCAGTGGTGCATGAAGGAAGGCCTGAACAAGGACAGCTGTCTAGTTGTTCGGATAGGACGAAAAACCGAAGTCCCGTGTATACATTGGCAGTTGGAATTCGATATAAGAGTATACCATAGCGCCGCTGTCCGGGCAAAATTTCCCCCACTGCTGACTGTATGGGGTAAGCTCGTCTTTATTAGCTCAGTCGGAGCAGAAAGAAATGATAGAAACTTTATTGAGTGAAATGAAATCAAACCGGGTTTAACGTCTTACTGGTCTGCTCCGACTGAGCTAATGAAGACGGGCATACGCCATACAGTGTTCAGTTTTTATGTGAATAGAGTTCATGTTCTCATGACAACAATGTTAAAACCCTCTATCATGTTCACAAGGTTTTCGACAAAGGGAGGATAACAAAAATAACAAAAAGTCGAGTTCATGCTCCCGTGACCCCAATGTTAAAAACTAGAACCCCTATAGCGTTCATATTGGTACGATCGACAGTATCATATAAAATAGTGGTATAGCCATGGACGTACCGCGGGTAAAGACAGCCACAT